AAGAATGAGCTGTAAAGGCAGAGTGTTGATTCACCTCGTGCTATAGATCCTGCTGGGATCTTCCTCCCAGCATCATTCAGATGGGAAAAGTGATAAAGAACAGCTCCCAGCTTGTTCAAGCTTCTGGTCTTGCCTTTCTTGGGAACAGGGACACAGGGAATTAATTGGTGCCACTGCAAGACTTGGTCTTATCCATACAGAATCAGCTGACTGAGACAGGGCTGTAACTCCTGACTCCTGGATGGAGCTTTAGAGCATCGATCTGGGCACATCCAAAAGAGGCAATCACTCATCTGAAGCAAATTTCTTGGTGATTTATAGAAACGTACAAAACTAAGAGCCTGTCAAAATAGTCTCTGTGTTCAATGATGAATAGGAGGAGGCTGTTACTTTTTTATTATTTTAAGTAACTGATGAGTTAATTAAAAATATACTTAATGTCCTGTAATAGTATCCCTTGGAGTCCCTCATGTCACTACTGCTGGGAGTGGGTTTTGCAAGCAAAAGTCATTTCACACATATTTGTTTTAGAACCTTAGATTTTCAGCAAACCAGCTGAGATTGCTTCTTCTTTGTCTCTATGTGGCAACAGTGGTGCTTTTTTGTTTTCAGTTAATATTGCAAAGCTGAAGGAGGCACTGATTTCAGGACCCTCAAAAAGTACATGGACTGTGAAAGAGATGTTCAGCATATAAATATTAACATAGTGTTCTATGATTCTGGATCTGGAAATATTTCACAACCAGAAAAACAGGAACACCTTGAGGTGAGGGAGATCTGGGTCAGGAGAAGCAGCATGAGATGGCATTTTACAGGAGATTAACCAGCCCTGCATATAGCTGTTGTTTTCACATGAAAGAGCTGAATGAATCAGTCTCTGGTTGGCTCAGTAACACTGACAGCTATCACATATAGAACAGCTTAGGGGTAAATAGACAGAAAAGAAGAAAATTTTCAGAAAAAAATTGAGCCTTATCTACTAAAGTTATTTAAACAATGGACATTTTTTGTTCTTCTGGAAGAGCTAATGAGAGCATTCCTTAAAAACTGCTGTAAGTCTCAAGTGCCTGGAGATATGCATATTGAGTTTTTACCCCTTCCTTCCCATCTGCCAGCTGCTCTGCTGTCATTTTTTTTTCCCCTCTTCTCCAGTAAAGCACAGAGCTGAGGAAACCACAAACCCTGAATTGTGTCACTGCACAGAGGAAGATTGATGGGGAGGTTAATAAGTTGACTGTGCAATTATAACACTCACCATGTACCACTGATAATGGTTAATGTGGTTATTTCCCACTCCTCTGATTATTTTTCTGCCTGTTTTTCAAGTCAGCTGGGGAGCCAGGCTCTGCTCCCTGCCTTGCTGCTCCACTGTGGGCAGCCCCAGGAAACTTGGCTATCAGGCACTTTGCTGTGCTGGGTGTTTGTATAAACTCCTTGACTCCCAGTGCACTCAGGAAAGGCAACTGGAGTTCTGCTAATGAGAAAAGGATTAGATTAGATTTTTTTTTTAACTGCTGTGCTTTTCCAAATGTGAAAACAACTCTGAAATAATCAGGAATGGATTAAATCTGAGGACAGTGAATGATTTTTCCCTCTGAGTCTAAAAGCTATTTTTTAAATTTTTTTTTTTTTTTTGTTAACACACAGTTCTAAATGATACACAACTATCACATTGTTCTCAGCAGAGTTAAACTCACTGGTTTGAATCTTAATGTGAGCCAAAAGTAGATACCTTGGCTGGTATTGGTAACTAACTGTGAATTTCTAAATATACACAATAAAAATTGGTGAAAGGCATAAATTAGCACAAAATCTCCTTCACTGCCCTTCAAACAAACACTCTTGCTACAGGTATAACTTTTTTTTCTAGAATATAGGCATGATGGTTACAAAAATACATTCGGAGCACTACAAAGTAATGATTTTGGTACAGAACTGTTGTCCTGATTGTCAATATTCCATCTACTTTAATGATTGAGTACTTCAAAGCATAAGCTGCCCTTGATGCAGTTGATTGTATGTTGCTTTTCAGAGAAGAAAGCTGTGGTTTTCAGACTGTTTGTTTAGAAATCATTTAAGAGCTCCTGACATGAAGCTTGTGAGAGGAACTGAGGTACAAATTTCTGAGGAATCAGCCTGCTACTGTTTGTTTCTGTATAAATCATATTTGTAGAAAGGAATAAGGTGACATCAAAGAGTATGGTCAATTTTTGCCAAGGCTTTCTTCTCTTAATAGGGAAAATCTATGAAAGTTCTCAATATTTGCTGGACACTTTGGCTGAAGTATTATAATATCAAGGCAATTTGCTTTTATTAACCCAGGCATCCCTGTTTCAAGGGATAGTTACTAGATGTTTGGTTTATAGGTCCTTGTATGAGCAATTCTATCCTTTATGAACAAGAAACCCTGAAGATGGTTGTGAGGGAAAGCTGAACGCACTAACAGTACCATGAAGTCTTGGAGTACAACAAGCTGACTGAGACCATAAATAATAGCTGTGCTCCACAGAAAACAGATGCTACAATGAGAAATAACAGTGCTGAACCTATAAGGTCACCACATTCGAAAAGGAACAAACAGTGCAATTGCTGAGGTGACAAATAGCCAGCAAACGTAGAAAAATAGTCTCATGAAGAGATCTACCTGCTACAGTAACAAGTGATACTCCTCACTAAATAATTGCTCATGGCAATGAGCTGATTTAACATCAGTGAGCTGATTTAGCAGACTTTTTATCTGGTCAGCATGGACTCAGGCTACACTAGCCAGTGATTTTTCTTGGGAATGCAGCTATGCTAATGGTGATTTTGAGAGGGATTACAGAGAAAGACATCTGTGTCTCTGATAAGAAGCAGGAAATTTGGGCCTGTGTGAAGGAGCAGTGAAGTTCACCCTGGTAACTCCAGTCTCCAACCCTGTTATCCAGTGAGCACCTTCCACTCACTGTGAATTATCATTACAGAGGTGGTGAGAACTAGAAATCAGTTCAGCTGAGCTATTAGCAAGAATTAAATATTTAGAGGACTAGGAGAAGTGAACCCATTCAGCACAGAAAAAAAACCAAAAACAACCTGTTAAGAAGAGGGCAGCTGTTAATGAACTATTTAAAACAGCCAAAGCTTCCTTATTTAATGCCTGAAATACTACTGTAAGTAGATGTCATAAATTCCATAACTTCATCTCCTACAGTATCAGCACTTTCCCTGGGTGAGCTGAAAGCTTTGACATTCCATGCATGGCATAAAAATGATATTTGTGGGGACTAAAAGGAGTAATACTCTAATTTGGAATGAGAGCTCAGTTACTGGTAGAAACATTACCGGGTATAACATTTCAGACCACTCATTGCTTTCTCTCTTCAGACCCACTATTCAGTGATACAACTTTCTGTGGAATTTACTTGTCTATCCTTCTTATTTTCTAGTTCAGAATATGGCACTTCATTGATAAAACATTGCCCTAAACCCCATTCATTGGGTCACTTTATAATGAAATGCATTGATTTTTATCTCATTACAATTAAACACTTTCATGTTTTGGTATTTTTTGTTAGTAAACAGTAGTGTCTTCTAAAATGTGCTAGTCAGAATGTTCTAGCCAAATTAGCCATCTTCTAAAAATGAGGCTAATCTAGCAGCAGTGGTCCTAAGAGTCCCCGGTTTTTATTAAGGGCCAGGTAACACCAGCCAGCGAAAAGCAAGACTGTATTTACAAAGAATCTGTATGTTGCACTGAACTGTTTGAGTGTGATTCATCTGGAGATTGCTGTGTGATTACAGGTTCTGCTCTTCCATCTGAGATTTACTTTAAAGATAGTATTTACTGAAACAAACCCAGCTCCTTTGAGAACAAACTTGATGAGTGGTTTCATGCACTTCACAGCCTGGTGTGAATCATGGCATGGCTGCATAAACCTGGGCTATACATTTACTCTTTCCAAGGTGAAGTTGATTAGCCAGTCTCCAAAAAGTTAACCTCCTTTTGTTGCAGGGCTTGTAGCACTGAGGTGTGCCCTTGTAGCATCTCATAGGACTGTCGGTGCTGGCACACAAATAATTTAGAGTATTCTCAGTCTTGGCTTCCCCTCATCTTGGGGCAGCTGAGTGGGAGCTTAGCAGTGAGTTTTGTTTCCTGTACTTCAACATGCACTCATTTTACAGCCTCAGAAAACCCTTGTTTTGATGACAACTCAGACTAGTGACTGGGTTAAAAGAAAGGCTCTGGAAAACAACATCAGAGAATCTGATTTGTTTCTTGGCTGTACAACTGATTCAGCAGCAGGCTCCAGACATGTCACTCAAGGTGTATCTCTGTTTTCTGTTTGTCTGTGTGACAGTCAAGGCACCACAGTGTGTTTGAGCCCTCCAAACAGGACTGATGGACGTGACATAGTGCCCACAGGAGAGCCCTGACCCCCTGCCTTGGGTGCAAGAGGTCGGGTGGACACCAATACACAGTTTATCTACAGTGCAGTCACCCAACTGTGAGGAGGATGCCTTAGTCTATTTTAAGAGTGAAATCAATGGAATCACTGAGTTTGGGACAAGATTCATCCCTTCTGTCTTCCAAACCCTCATACCTGCGAGGATGACCCACCTTGAAATCCTTCAGCTGTATTGTCAATATTTTTCCTGTAGTTATGGGAACAAAGCAACAACCTTAGATTGTATAAATCTACTTGAAGGCAAGTAAAGGTGAGAAGAACCTACTCACTTTTGTTTTGCTTTCACCTGAAAAATGTGGTCAGTATTTCCTCCTTTTGCCATCATTAACTCCCTGCACAATTCATGTTCTAAATCCCTCCAGTCAGGGGTTTATTTTTTGCCCCTTTCTGCAGATAGATGATACAGCTGAGTGGTGGCCAACACCTACTGTGTCTAGATGTTCAGATTTTAGCCACAGCTGGATGGGGAGAGATGCTGGCACTATTTGTTAAAATATAGGAATTTGAATCTCATCAAACTATCAGACCAGTAAAAAATGGAAATCATACTCCTTCTAAAAAAAATTAAACCCTTTTTATTTGTATATTTATTTTTATATATAAAAGAAATACAAAAACAACCCCACAAACAATTCTGATTATGGCAATTCAGTTTTGTCAGCCCCCTCTGCTTGGGCTGCTGCCTCAGATCCACCGGGAGTGAGCAAAGTCCTCCGGTTGTAATGTCCTTTTATGATTCCAGAGTTATTGTTCTCATTAAGAATTTGTTTCTGTTTTTGCCTGTTAAGAGACTGTACAAGTCCTAGTACAACAGCTGCTAATGAATACTGTCCAGTCAGTTTTCTTGGTTGTAAGATTAGAGGATTTGGTTGAACTCTTCCTAGAAGAAAATATGTTTTGATTTTTCCTTCCTGTTCACTGATACCTTTGACATAAATTTCTCCACGGTAGTCGAAGGCAAATCCCCGGTCCTTCAGGATCAGATACGTTTCTTCAGGCACTTGTATTCTGTCACTAACACCTGTGCTGTCCATTCGACTTGCCAAATTCACTGTTTTGCCCCAGATATCGTACTGGGGTTTCTTAGCACCGATAACTCCTGCCACGACAGAGCCATGGCTAATCCCTAATTGAAAAAAAGGAAGAAGAAAGAAAAAAAAGAGAAGATAAACTGTATACAATAATGACCAAAACCCATATTTACACTTAAGAATCAGATGAAGCCTGGTTGAGATACACTTATCTCCAGGCTTAAGAAAGAGGTGCATATTTAAAGAAATTAAACAAAAAAAAATCTGGAAAAGCTAGAAAACTTGAAAAGTGATATCAACAGGTTTATTTTATGGGAAACCCTTGTCAGTGGAATCACAATACTTTTGTGTCATCTGTATTCTGCACATTGTTGCCAAAGCTGCTGAAAACTTATTCTCAGACAATAGAAAGATTTCTGGAACTACACTTCTTGAGGGTGACCTTGTTAGTGCTATAGACAAGAAATTGCATTCTTATGTTCTGTGAAGTGAAAATATTAAAGCATTCTGTGAAGCTGTTGAAAGACTGAATTTTGTAAGATTGTTGCATAAAAAGACAAGAAATATCTGTTGGGTTTTTTTTCTAGAATAGACATTTAAGAATAATTTTAGTAGAGTGCAAGATATCTTTTGGAAAAGGATTTTAGTTTCTTAGGGGTTTTTTTTAAAGATTTTTAAAATGGTGATAGAAATATTATAAAAACCTCTTGCATTCAGGCTCTATGAAATCTTTACATGTGATCCACACTTACTGAATGTGGATGCCTTGTGAAATCTTGGCAACTATGCTTTTTGTATTCAAAACTGTTAGGAAGTGCAGGTCAGATAGTGATGCTGTGACCCTCTGTGCTGTGATTGATGAATATAGCTCAGTTTTTCTATGGAAGGGTTATCTATAAAACACATGTCCCTTCCAGGTGATTTTTTTTTTTGTTTGTTTTGGCCAGTGATCAGCTCAGTGTGAGAAGTCATCAAATTTACTCCTGCTATGTGCTATATATTCAGGCCTCTTTTTTATGTCCTATCCCACTAGCCATGTAGGATGTTCCATCCAGAACAATTGCTTATTCATCCCAGAAATTCAGAGCTGCTGCCACTGGTCAGGTGAGAGATGGAATTCAATTTTTGTGCAAAACACAAGTACTACTCCCAGGCTTTAGGAGAAACGGCTTCTTTTATTGAAAAAGAATATTATGCAAGGAGATTAATTAGAGACTGTGTGAGTACCAGTCTTGGGGCTGGATCTAGGTTGTCCTGTTCACTTTCTGTGTTATGTCTATGGATTCTTAGTACCAGACTTACTAAAGACAGTAAATTAATTATGTTCCCCATTCACAATTCACTGAAACTTTGAACTCCTGCAATCCCCAAACCAGGGCCTATATTCTGCAAATGGAGTATTTAATATTTCTGACTTTGCCTGGGATGAAGTCAATTTGAAAACAGAGGATACAGTATTTGGACTGTTGTAAGTTGTGCATGTCCTTGCAATGTTACTGCACTCAGTGGAGTCACATCCTTGCAGAGAAAAAACCCATTTTAACTCTGGTGTTTGAACCATGCTTACCAATCCGGAGTTCAAAGTTGTTGAAGGAATGCTTGTTGATCTCCTGTATGCTTTCATTCAGAGCTATGGAGAAGTCAGCCAGGGCACACAAGTGTCCCCATTTGTCTTCACATTGCTGAGGAAAAAGTTATACACCAATATGTTAGTGAAGTTTTTCATTTTCCCAGTGGCTACCCATCCCTACAAGTACCAAGGGTTTGCATTTGGAATCTAGCCTCAATATTCTAGATGAAAGAGAAGTATACTGCTTTTACTGGTAGTGCTTCCCATTATGTTGTACTTGTATAACTGGATAGAGAGCAGCTTAAAGGGCCAGAGAAAGTAACATTCTGTGAGCAATCTGACAGGCAATGATGAGAATTAACAAGGCATGTGAAGCATGTCTAAGGCTGAGAAAGAAAGTATAGAGAGGATTAAGTTTACTCAGACTCAAGGTTCAAAATCTGGTGAGAACAAGGGATGACCCATGTAAGCACGAAGTAGCGTGAAAGAGGTGAAGGATGTGTAATTCTCCTTTGTCACCCAGGAACAGCATCAATTCTAGTGCTGTCAGAGGTGTAATGATGACAGGAACAACAGAACAAGCCAAGCAATCTGGAGTTGGTTAAGGGAGAGAGAAAAGGCTCTTCAGTAGTTCATTAATTGCCTTTGCTTAAGGCAGGCAAGTCACTCCCTGCTCCTTCCCTTCCATTTCCATTCCTACAAAGCTGTCAATATACAGATGGGGAGCAGCAGTAGGTTTTAGTCTTCCCAGAACACCAACAGAACAGATGACTGTGGGTTTGGACCAATGATTGTATGATGTCTTCTCATCTGTTCTGAAGCAAGGCAATTCCTTCTTCAAATTTCCAGTTCAGAGTACAAAGGATTGGAAGTCTCTCCCTGGGTGATGCAGTCCAGCCCTTTGCAGTTTTCATCATCCTGTGTCTTTAATACTGAACATGAACCTCTCCTTGGCATCACCCTGCTCTGTTCACACCATGCTTGGTCCTTATCCTTAACTGGCTCTGTTCTCAGCATGCCAACCTCCCTCAGCAGCCTGCACCTCTTAGGTGCTGACAAGGTGGCAGACATGTACATATGACAAGTATATTTAAAACATCCATTAAAATTCCATTAAGCTATTATAGTTCAAGAAAAGACACGAGTTAATTAGTCTCGGAAAGGCAATGAAACTTTTCTCCCTTTGAATTTTTACCCCCATCAAGAGTTAAAGGAAGTGATTAGTAGCTGTGTAGCTATAACCCACCATCTCCCTGGTGGTCTATCCTTCTTTGCTCATGTCTACACAGAAGCATTTTGACAATCAAAAATCCCATGCATATCTAGTTTTATGGATTTCTAGCTGTCAGCATCACTTCTTACTCTGTAGGTGGGAGATGCTCAGCTAGTTACAGTCCATGAGTTTTATAATGTATTCTTGACAAACAGTGGAAATTTTATGGTTTATAAAGCTTATGATAATCTGGCTTCTGCTTTTCAGAAGTTGTGATCAACTTGGGCAAATCTGATTCCCAGCCTGTGACCAACTAGGAGTATCACACCCCTTTTGTGCTGCTCTTCCTGGGGACTGGCACCAGTTGCCAAAAAACAGATTTCAGCAACAGATGACTTCTCACTGTACATCCAGTGAGATGTTTTAGAGCCTTAACTAATTTGTTTGCAGGCAAATTCTTGGGTGGAATTATGAATGGATTTCTCTCATCTGACTTATGGGAAGTTTATGGCTGTGACTGTGTGTGTCCTCTGTGAATATTTGTTCCCTCAGCTTGGTTTGCTTCCTCAGCTGAACCAATGACCTGCTTTCTTTTTGTTGTGTAGTTATCATGCTGTCTGTAGACATTCTGTATCAAAAAAAAGTATAAATACAGCATGAGTATGCTTACACTTGTATAAGTATGCTGTCAGTTAATAGATTCTCTCTCTTCATCAATTGTTGGAGGTTGTCAGTCAGGTTCCTGTCTGAGTTACTGAGGTGGCTTTAGAGTATGTCTGAAGATATAGATAGACCTGATCTAGATTCACACTGGTGTGACTAAAATAATATTTTTTTCTCCTATAAACCTAAATTTGAGGAAAGAATCCATATGGTTCTTGTTCCAAGCACAAGATGGCATTTCAATTCATCAAGAAGTGCAACTGCTGTCTGCCAGAAGCCCCAAATGTCTATTTTATTTTAGCAAAACAAGTTTTACGAACAACATAAAGATAACACTTATATTTTTGAATATGAATGGTCAGAATAATCACAAGCTTTGCTTCTTAAAGAAAATTATCCTCTTACCTGTTTTTCAGGTGACAGTCCTGACACAGCCATGTACGTGCTGCCAATTGTTTTAATTTTTTCAATATCTTGAAATCTCTCTTCACCTAGTAACTAATACATATGTAAAAAGAAAAATACTGTTACTTCTGTAATTCCTAACACAAAATGCTTCTAAAGATGTGGGAATGTATCTTTACACTTTCCAGTCCATCATGGCACACAATTTATTCTGGGTCTTAGGGAACACTGATCTGGAACTCTGGAACATCATCTCACTGAGTGCATGCGAGATAAATTGGGCTATTTGGTAAGTTCACAATGGATAATATAAGACATGCATACTCCAGCCTAAGAGAAATGCTTCCAAGTCTTGCATTTCCTGAGGTATGATCACTGAATATTAGTGAAGAAAAACTCTATGTGTATGTATGTATGAGTAGAAGACTTGATCACTTAAAAGTGTTCCTAAAACTCTACTGGAGGAGCTGTTTGCAAAGTAAGTGCTGCTACAGCAACAATTGTGGTGATGAGAGCAATATTCAAGACTGGACTGGTTGGGGCTCTGAGCAAACTGGCCCAGTGGAAGGTGTCCCTGACCATGGCAGGGGGTTTGGAATGAGGTGATCTTCCAACCCAAACCATTCTATACACAGTCAGTGGATGGAGGTAGATGCCTCCAAAGAGATTCTGTAAGACACCAAGTCCTCTTATATCCCCTGCTTCCCCCTCCTTAGGGTCAGACTGGACACCAGCATGTCCACAGGATCACTCAATCTATACAGTTATGTATTTTCCCCTTCTAACAAATATTCTAAGAACCAATGGGGAATGGTAAATCCCTGTATGTATCTGGGATTTGCTATAGCTATAGGTGTTGAAAAACTTGTCAGATTGAGAACTTGGAAGAGGAAGAAAAAATTTTAGTTGAGTGACTCAAGCACTGAATGAAGTGGGAGTGAAAGTGTTTGGTCCATATTCCAAGTCCATATTTATGGTTTAACTTAAGACTTTCTATGAAATAGAAGACAGACTTTTACATTCCTTGAAAGACCTTAACAGAGTTCAGGATGTGGATTTTATCAATGACAACAGAGTGTGGAATATGGGCATTAAACACCTTATCACAGGAAAATGTTTGTTGCTGGTGTTAATGCCAAATACCCTGTGAAAATTTGTGATAAGCTGTATGGTATCTAATAAATTTAGGGATCAGTATAGTTACAAAGTCATGGGAAGAAAAAAAGTTTGAGATTCCTTTTCATCAGGAAAAGGAATCTCAAACTTTCAATTCTAAAGGCTTAATTTTGTTGGGATTTAAGTGGAAAAAAGTAGTTTTGTGGTCAGGCAATGATATAACAAAATATTTTTCCCCTTTCTTTTTCTACACTGTGCATTCTTTTTTCCATCTTGTGGGTTGGAATTTCCTGCCCACTAAAGATTATTTCATTTAGAGGGAGAAACATACCAAAGGCATAACATGAAATATCCCCTGCCACTGAAGCAACCCCAGCGCCGGGGCCTCGGGAGCGTTGCTGTTGGTGTGCAGATATGGCACCATCTGTCCCTAATGGGAAACTGCACAGCATTCCACGTAGGGAATACAAAGCCATATGGTTAATGGCCCCTGTCCAAGGCAGGAAAGTCCAAAGACTTGACCTGCTTCTCATTTTTCTTCAAACTGCCAGAACAGCCCATTGTGTACCTTTCCGTCTTACAAGGGCAGCTCTTCCAACTGCTCTCTAAAAGAAAAAGATTGCTCCTTGTAGCTCTGTCTCTGTGAGCAGTCTGAGAGCACCATGTGTTTAAGCAAGGGGAGAAAATGGTCTTACTTCAAAACAGTCCATATTTTTGTTTCCAGATGGTTGCTGGAAGCAATAGCAAATAGCACTAATTTAAAACGTATAATAAATATCTAAAATTACCCTTTTTAGGAAAGAAAAAAAACATTGGCTGTGATGCAATTTAGAAAAAATTATTCCATGTTATGGGTTTTTTCCTCATTCATTATTGTTTTCAAATCTCGTGTTTGCTTCTTTTTTCCCCTGCTTTATATGGTTTGTTCAATAGATTCTTTCCTTCTCCAAATAATGATCTATTTACTAATTACTTTCTTCACGGTATGACAGGATGATGGATTTTGATATTGGAGAAAAATATTCCAACTCAGTCATAAATCAGCTGCCATTTGTAAAAACATTTTAAATAGGCTGCTAATTTAACATGATAGTCCAGGGACACATTTTCAAACACTAGAATGTGGTTTGTATCTAAAAAGAAACTAGTGGCTTGATGCTGCAATTCATGTACAGCCAAGGTTGTGTGGAGGTCAGGCCCTGGGATCACATGTACAAAACTGTACAAAAAAAGAATATTGCAGGACATAGCACAAAACTGCAAAGTAATCAAAGAATCTGAAAGCAGGATCCAGTGTTCTGTTGAAACCTCTGTTACATAATATATTAATATCTGTTTTGATATAGACTATGTAAATCATGATAAATAAAATGCAAGAAAAGAAAAGAATCTGTGAACAAGAAAGCTCTTCTGAAAACACAATGCCCAGCTGTAACATTAACATACATAAATGACAGATTAAATAGCCTAGAAAAAATATTACATTAAAATAATTCCTTCAAGACTCATCATATCTTCAGAAAAGTTATAGTGTTAATTTTTTGGTCTAATGTCTCTAAGAAAGAGAGTTTAGCCCTGTATGTGTCTTAGAACTACAGTCATATAAAAAGCAAGTAATTATGAAAGGTAGGCTTTCAATGTTCATATATGTTTCTTTCTGCCAGTCCAGAAACTAGCACCTCCTGTTCTGCCTCAGCTGGCAGGAAGACTGGATAATTTGGAAGTCAAAAAATTTGTGAACGATGAGAGAAAAAGAAAACTGAGTGAAGGCTGTATTTTGGCAATGGTCAACCACCTATTCTGCAAACTCATGTTTGGACCACAATCTCCCACTCCCCACAATCTGACTCCTCTGTGGGTACCTACCCCCTGCAGTTGTCAGTGACAGGTTCTGTTCCAACACTCACTATTTACTTGCTATTATTTGTATCTGGCTTTGTCTTCCTAACAAGTTCTATTATGTGGAAAGCAAAGCAATAGATCCAGACTGTAACCTTGCTGTGTTTTGTAACTGGCTTTGTCTTCCCAACATAGTTCTATTATGTGGAAAGCAAAGCAATAGATCCAGACTGTAACCTTGCTGTGTTGCATTAATGAGGAAAACCCTCTAAAAAGAAAAAATAACCCAGATTTCTTTCTCGTGTACCTATCACATTTTCCAAAGCACGTAAATTTGTATTTTTACCATGGCTTCCATTCAGAAGCATCATTTTGGCCCTGTAGCCAGAGCATCTCTAATATTATCTCTGTAAGGAAAAGAGGCAATTCACAGAGTATAATGTGATCTGAGCTTAGGAACTCTATTCAGTTGTCTAAACATATATGTCCAGTGTGATCTAGAATACTCTTGCCCTGATCACCTCCAGTGGCCTTCTCCAGAACATGAGTTTTCTGGAAGTGCAGCATGGGAGCTGAAAATCCCAGGTGTGTGTTCCAAATCACCTAGGATGTATTGAATGCCATCAGGTGCCCATGTCTTACACTCCTTGCTAAGATTTCTACATCAGGGTATCTCTGCAGAGGTGCTCACTTGCAGAGTTTCCCCATGGATATCAGAGCTGTTCTGCTCTCAAGCTGCACATCTGCATTTTCCTCCCAGGGCTCTATTGGAACAGCAGGCAATCTTGGCAAGGAGCACAGGGAGAAAAAGAAGGAATAGTGACATTGTATAGTGTCAGTCAATAGTTACATGGAAACATTGCTGGCCCCGTAACATTGCACCTGGAATGATTTGAGGTTCATTTTCCATGGATAAGGTTACTTCTTTCAGTTGTTCTGTCTGGCATATCACCTTTCAGATTGTTTAGACAGAGCAAACTAATGACATGGCCATGCTGCAAGTAGGTTAGCAGTCAGCAGGGGATCCCATAATTTCATTTGCTACCTGTACCAAGAACATATCTATTCTTCAACTAAACATGTCTGGGACATAATGCAGTCTCTAATTAGGTCCTTTATTAATTACAGAGCAGGTGTTAGGGGCCTGAAAGTAATATTGTGTTAGGGTTTTGATTAAAACCTTGTCTTCAGTAATTGCCACAGCAGCAAAGGAATTTTGTTGTGAAGATTACATGAATGTGCATGACAAAATATCTTAATGTGAAGACTATTGCTATGAATTAATTTGAGTGGTAATAATTTTAATCAGATCTGGAAATAAAAACAAAACTATTAATCAAGAAGCATGCTGACAGCTGTGCTAGATTCTGGAGGTAAGAAGCAGGCATTCATGCCCATGGGGAATGCAGTGCAGGAGCTTAGCAGGTGACAGAGTTCTTCTCGTGAGGGAGAGATTTTTTCCTCAGTTAAAATGTGCAGGGAAGTGTTCCCAGTGAATTCTTCTATTTCCCACTCATAGTTTTATTATCTCACCAATTATATGGATAAATGCTCAATTTCAGTGTCAGTAATCTTAGCCTTGGTACAATCTTTATGGGCAACCACTCATTCCCCATGCAGGTGCCCAGGATGGAAGTCACATACCAATGATACCGTATTTTCTCCTTCCATTTTCTCTCTGGACCATTGCAGTCTGGAGTACAGGTCCAATCTTGTTGCTAGGTAAACGTGGTTCCAATTCTATTTTTACCACTCAGGGATCTCAGGAGGGCTACACACTCCTGAAAACTGCCTGCAGTATAGAGGCTAAAATTCTTTCTGCTAGGTAATTTTGGCAGTATTTTTTCATCCTCCCTGGTTTTGACATTTTTTAAAAACTCTTCACTGGATTTATGTTTTGTCTCCTTTCTTAATAACTCTTGGGCTCATTGCAGGACATGATACCACCTGTCTAAGCTTCCTTACAAACTACTTTGCAGAGCATGGAAATTTATCCTGACTTCCTCTTCAGTTACCAAGTTTTCTTAGCTTCACCTAGCAATAGGTATATTGGGGTTATAACTTCTTTTTATTTTGTCCCCTCCTCAGCTCCTTTTCTGAAATTAAATGGACAGAATACCTAAATAAATTATTTTTCCTTTCCATTAAAAATAAAACAAAACAAAAGCAACCCCTTCACCACTGAATTCCTCAGTGAAACAAGCAGCTGAACTTCATTTATCTCACTATAAAAATCTTAACAGGCAAGTCTTCTCAGCTTATAGACATATTTGTCACCACCACCTCTCTACCTAACATTTACTTCTGAGCTCTGTGCTTCACATTTAACTGGACACTGTTTTACCTTTAATATTCATCGAGTCTATTCAACCAACACCTTTACATCTGTAATGATCTCATTACATAATTCAGAATAAAGTTTGGCAGGATGAAGGGCAAAAAAGCAAACCAGAAAATTGTAATATGAGCAAAACAAAAAAAAAAAAGATCAGAGAACTATTGGAAACAAAATAACTACCAAATTTCATAATTTAGGATGACAGATTTGGCATTTGCAAACTCATAGTTTAAACACTATCAGGTTTCCTCTAGTAACTGGAATTACCTCATCAAAGTCTGCAATGATTTCATTCAGTAAGCGAAGACATTCTACTCCTTGGTTATTCATCTCAGTCTGGGAATAGAAGTCAGCAAATCCAGGAATAGAAGCAAACATCACACCAACAGCGTCATAGGACTGAGAGTATAATTCCTGAAAAAACAATGAGGAAAAACAAAGTGTTAACATAATGGAGAAAATGTAGTTGGCAACAATTAAAATATTTTTCTTAATTTTTCTATGCATAATACCTTAACATCTGACGTTGACATGAGTATTTTAAGGGTTAGCCAGGTTCAACAGGAGGAGGCTAACAGCTCTTAATGTTTTTATTGCAGATTATGTGCAGGGTTTTCCTTTTCTTTGAATGCCTGCTCTTTCTGCTTCTTAGGTCAAGGAGCTACACCAGCAAAAGTGAAATAGAAATTTTGCTTTTGATTTATATGAGGAATGACTTGAATACATGAAGGATTCATTGTCAAGTAAAAATACCAGTTATCACATTTTCTGGTGGATAATTTGTACTTCACTCTACTGCAGCTCTTTATGACTTTGTTTATTCACAAGTTTTCAGAAAAACCTTACTCTCTGGTAAACTCTGGTTCTCCTAAGGCTGTGGAGGTCTTTGGTTGCCTGGCTCTGGGAGATGTTCCTGCCCTTAGGGTTCAAAAGGAGTGAGAAACAGAAGGTTACTAGGATAAAGTATGCCCTGGAAAGTATGCTTCCACTTACATTATTCATATATACTGAATGACAGATTTATTTATGGAGGGGCTTGTGTCATTACATATGTGAAAATGTAGACAGTTTTTGTCTGAACTAAAAGCAATTTTTAGGAAAAAAATTAATTTCAACTTTAAAGATTCCAGGGGTTGCTACCACAACTCCTGGTATGCTTTTCTTGCAGCTAATATACCACCATCACATGTATTCTCCTTTGATTGTTTTTTTTTCCTGGCTTCAACTTCTGTAGTTTTAGGTAATGGTATTTCTGTTTATGAACCTTTCTTATGTTGTTATGAGCTGAAGTACTTTTTCCTCAAAGTTCTTGTTAATGCCTTTAAGAAATGTTAATGCTTTGGTTTCATGATAAAAAGATTTACTGCTGATTGCCATGCACTTGACATGAACATTTCAGGTCCTTCTTCCTTCATCCTATTTCTCCCTAGAAAAGCATCCTGAACTTCTGCTCTGCTCTTTGATATGCTGCTAATGCTTCTACTTATCCAGGCTCTTTTAAAAAGTGTCTTAGAGTAAATGTGAGAAAATTCTTCTCATTTCCAAAGCCACGGCAAAACTTTGATTGAGAAAACATGATTAATTCCCTTCCTGCCCTTACCCTTTCTTTCACTGAAGAACATCTTCAGGGTCATGGAAGCCATACTCTAAGAACACTCTTATTCCCTTTTCTGGGTATAAAAAGAGGTAATACACATTAATTTGTCGATGTTTATGAAAGATCTGACAGTGTGTGCTAGGAGAAGCATGAATACACTCAGCCATGCTTGTGCCTTGGATCATGAAGATAGAAAACAACTGCCTGAGCCTTCAGTTGCTCCATTTTTCTATTTTTGGTAAGAAGCATAAGGACAGAGATAAAACATCCATAAGAAATCGCTACAGTACATATTTAGGAATTCATTCTTTTGAGAGCAGAGAAATTAACTTAATGGCCAGACATGAACTGCAGGATTGATTGCACTGAAATCTGGTAGATTTTTCTGTCTGCCAGCTCATGCATAAATCATCCCCAAGTACAGTTACTCTAGAAATTGCCTTACAAAAAGCAGGGGTGGTGGAATTAAAGTCAGTGGCAAATTATTGCATCAGCAGTGATCCATGGGGCATCTGCTTGCTTTTGAAGATTATTATGCACGTGACCGTAAGTGAATGAAAGTATAAGATGGGAAATTTATTCCCTGAAAACCCATAATGCAGATATGCCAGAACACACTGCTGGCTGGTATCGAGGTCTGCTTCATTTGCAATGAAACATTTGAACCTGGTTGCTTTCACACTCACATTTTCTCATGTGCATAGCAGGGTTTCTATGGCACTTTCATACCCGCAGAGTTTAAAATTTCTCAAGAGTGAATTCTAAAGTGCCTTTTCTTGTAGCTTCTCACTGTGTCATCCTTCCCTGGGTGATACTTGAAATCAGAATACAATGGTTCCTCATTGTGCAGTCTAATTAGTCTGCCTACATCCATTTCCAAAATGTACAACAGAAAATGGTAGCCTTAATTCCTTTTTGCTGCACGATCAGTAGATATGTCAGTGCTGGCAAGGCGAATCTTGCAACAGCCCTTCCCATTATAAAAGATAATTCCAACATTGCATGAAAAAAAAATCCAATTTCATCATACAGTACCTTACTATATATGTAATATTATAATATGCATTTACTTTGTTTCAAATGAGGAGTAAGTGACTTACTGCCGCATCCAGAAACAAATTCTGGAATTTCCTTTATCCATCTTCAAACTTCATGTTAGGAATATTCAGAGACTCCACTATCGGGCTTTTCTTTGTGTACTGCAAACAATTTTTAGGAACAGAGCCACAAACTCTGTCATTGAAATGGGTGTTTTGTTATCTGCCACAAACAGGCAATTCAGGGGCAATATGAAATGGAAAAAATGCTCAGTTGTGTCTGCAGAAATGAGAGCCTCAGGTCTGTTGCACCTTGTTCCTTCCATAGTCACTGTCAGGGCTCTAATAATACTTCTGCAACACTGGGCTGTCATAAACTTGCACAGACATTCTGTTAAATTCACACATCTTTTTCATGAATAGTAGATTTTCATAGACACAAATACTAGATTTTCATAGACTCATAGGTTGGAACAGACTTCTGAATCTCATTTAGTACAATTTGCTTTCAAAGCAGGACCAATTAGATCAAGTCTTTCACAGCCCTTTTGATTTAAGGGCTGAGCCCTGCTCTGCCTTCACAGACTCACAAAATCACAGAATCACAGAATTGCAGGGGCTGGAAGGGACCTCTGGGGGTCATCCAGGCCAACCCTGCTGCCCAGTCAGGGTCACCTAGAGCAGGTTACACAGGAATGCACCCAGGTGGGTTTGGAATGTCTCCAGAGAGGGAGACTCCATGACCTCTGTGAGCAGCCTGTTCCATGGTCCTGCAACCCTCTGTGTAAAGCAGTTCTTCCTCATGTTGAGGTGGAACATCTTGTGCTTTAATTTACTGCCATTGTCCTGTCCCTGGGCACCACTGAAAAGAGCCTGGCACCATCCTCTTGGTGCCTGCCTTGGAGATATTCAAATGCATTAATGAGATCCCTTCTCAGTCTTCTCTTCCCAGGTCTCTCCTCATAAGAGAGATGTTCCAGGCCCCTAATAATGTCTTCTTTATAAACACTCATTAGGTATTTGAAGACAACAATGAGATGCTCTTTCAGTCTTTTCTTCTTAAAGTTGTATGATCTCAGGTGTCTCAGCCTCTCCTCACATCCCCCAGTCCCAGAACCATCTTGGTGAATTATTGCTAGAATTTCTCTGTGTATGGCCCATATGTTTCCTACTGGTGGGTTCAAAACATGGAAACATAACTCCAGGTGTGGTCCTAGAAGATTTACTTCAAAACATGATTATTTTTCAATGTTGATCAGATACCAAATATTGGCAGCATTTGTGCAATGAATCCTATAAAAAATAAGTTTCAACCATTTTCTACCAGACCTACTTTTCTTCTCCTAATTAGATATACATATCAGAAAATTGACACATACTTCATTATCCCGATCCTTCTCCAGGAAGTGACGGGCAACATGACTGGGTAAAATATTCCGTAGCATGTTTTCATTGTGCTCCCTCAGCTCCTTCATTTCATTGATTTCTTCTTTTGCTTGAACACGCCACAGAAAATCCAGCCTTGCTGTGTATTCAAGCTGTAGTTTCAGAAAGAAAAAGAGGCAAAAATAAAACCTGACAAGATAAGAGTAGAGATTGTATTGCCATCCTGGCAGGCTGCTCCTGCATGTAACCACCTTCAGTGCTGCTGAAGATCTCTGAAACAATTTAATTTTCTTGCCAGAAAAGGAGATTATTTCTTTGCCTTATGTACAGGCAGACTCTCAGAGTAATCTTGAGCAAAATAATATTTGGCATATTACTGCTATGGTCAGTAGATATAAACTGTCATCAAATTATTTCCTCTTTAAGCATATCTTTATCATTTAGATAATGTAGTCTGACAAGAGATAAGGTATTAGCAGGTATTGATATGAAATAAATATGTTCCCCTTTTCAAAAGTCTTTTCAATTTAAATGAGAAAATTAGCACAAGGCTAACTCTAAACTCTTGGCAAGGATGTCCTTCTCAAGAATGAACATTCAGCATTCTGTGTAACAACCCAAAGAGAACATCCAAATCTGTGGCACAAAAATGATGTAGTTATACTGTTGGGGCATACAGTTATTTACAACTTTTATCGTGTAAAAAATAATGGAAAACATGCTATTTGTCAACCGTTCCAATACTCTGTGCCTGTATTGTGGGATCAGAGTCTACAATCACAGCTTATCCGTACAAACTCCCACTGCCTGATACCCACAGCCAAAAACTGAAGTGAAATGATTTCCAGTGTGGTGTGTGTGTAGAACAAAAGCTGTGCACTGCAGAGCTTACACATGCATAAATATATATTGGTACATATATAAATTCTTATTCATTTAAGTATGAATGGCAACTGTCTGCTAGCTGAAGCAGGGAACAGGTTGAAGAATTGTGTCACTTGACTGAGAGGCACATGTGTGTCAGCACATGGACAAGCCCAAAACTGCCAGAGATTTTGTGTGCATTACACTGAAGCAGAGTTTTAAGCAGATTTCAAGGCAGCTGATACTGTAGCTTGCACAAGGGGTGACTTATTAAGCTACAGCATTACTGAAAATGATGGAATTATATATACATATATGTAGTTAGTAAACTGAAAGAGAACATTTGTTTGTGAAGTCTGAGATGCTCCAACCAGAGATAATAACACCCAGCAAAGAAGACCCATCTATTTGCTGGTATTGTGCCAGCAAATAGATGAATTTTACAATTTTGAAAGACATCAGAAGGTGCTGGGATAGAGGAATTTTTTTAAATATAATTCATATACCAAACTAAAATAAAGGAGCAGCCTGCCGTGGGTGGGAATGACTAAGAGGGGGTTCAGGCATTGTTTAGTGACTCATCTTGGCCACAGTTTTAGTCAGCAGCAGTCATGAATGGCAAACTCTTCAGGAGAAAAAAAGCAAAGCATTTTGAAAGGGACCTTATATTTTGGCTGTGCTCTAGGGAGCTTTCCTTCCCAAAAGCTAAAAGTGACTGTAGCTTGATATAAACTTCCAAAGCCTGAATATAAGTTGGCAGTGATTTACTTGCCCTCTGGGTGTTGTGTCCAGCTTTATAAACAAACTTTTTTCTACTGTTATGTAGATCTTCTGTCTTGTGACCATTAATCCCCTGAATTAATGGCAACAAAAAAAAGACTGTCAGGAAAAAGTATTTTAAACACATTTTTCCACTTTTTTCAGTTTCCTTTGCCTTTCTTTTATGCTAGAAGACAGAGTCCATACCAGATAACTGACTTTTATCTCTATCAACTAACTGAGAAGAAAAAATTATCTGTAAGTTTTCAAAAAGTTCTAAAGGTATTTCAAAGATTGACTTCAAATAGGAGCTGCTGCTGGATTTTGGGTTCTTTGATGCTTCAAGGTAGTTAATGCTACTACAATAAGAGCTTGGCAAAAAACTGTGGTAGTTTTTCAGAGCTGATTTTTTATGCTGCTCTACAGGGAAATGTCACATCTCTAAGCCTAGCTCAGAATAGCAGCAGCTAATCTTTACATTTCAGACAACATCGTTCTGGTTATCTGTGTTCACATTTAAACATGAAATATTTTTCCTTCATCATCAGTGGGTTACCAAGATGACACTATCAGCTCAGAAAGAAAGGAATGATATATATGAGATTTGAAAATGGAAAATATTAAGAAGATGATTTTCTAAGTTCTTATATTTGCTAAAATTAAAAGAATTGTAGGGTTGAGTTTGAGGTTTGTGGCTTGATTTTCTGAAGAAGTATTCCTGGATTTAAATCCCAAAGTGTCCATGTTTTCCTGCCCTGATATGTAGCTTTAAGAAACACCTCTAATTACAATGGTTAGTGAAGAAAAGAGAGAGGTATTACACAGAAAGCCTAACTTTATGTCCTCTGCATGCTGCACAACCCAGTTACTCTGCAGAAAATTGTCACATGCAATTAAATCTAATAAGATGGTACCAGACACCTTTTTCTCAAATTTAATGTTAAATTTTGTGTGCTAAATATGGCACTAACTTTGAATCACAAGAGATTTTTAAAAAAGTTAATTATTCAAAAATTTATCATCCATAAGTATTATTGTACAAAAATAATCTTTTTCAGTAAATCCATGTAGAATAAGACAAGTTTTAAACTATTATACTTCAGATAACTTTTCCAGCTTGTGAGATGGGAAAATGTGCTTGAGGACAGCTTTATTGGACTTAATGTACTTCCCAATTCACACTTCAGAAGAGTTTTGGTTTTTTGGTTTTTCATTTGCTTTTTTTTTTCTTTTAATGTGGTTTGAATGGAACTTTTATACATATTAAGTTGACAACTATACAGAAATCTTTAGGTTAACTCCATAATAAAAAATTAAACAATTCAATGAAATGTTCCTGGACTCTGCCTTTGGATGCTGTTAAATTGATAGACTGGCCTCATGAATCATTTGGGAGAGCATGCAGAACTTAGCACATCTCAGAGACCATTTCCAAGGGCAGTTCTAGTGCAGCCATCCTGTTTTATGGACCCAGAAAGGCTAATAAGATGGAAAATAACTTGTGCTCTTCTTGCAGGCCTCTGGGCTGGAAAATACTCTTAAATACCCCAGATCAGGCTTTTGTAGAAGACATTTACATTCAGGATTAGGATTCTGAAGAGCATTTCCTGGCTTCAGCCTAATTCTTACTTCACCTTAACTTGTCTAGTGTTGTTTTTCTTACTACCTTGGCTGATTTCCAAGCCTGAGATTTTTTATCTTGACATATGTTAATAATCATTTGGAATACTATAAGGCTTATCCCCAATTTGAGTTGAACAGTTCTTATTTGTTCCATATTAATCCTAAGTGGACTTTTTGTCATGATAAAGCCATGTCACAGTTCATTGATTTCCATCAAATTTATATCTGTGCACTGTGCAAAATGCATTTCATCCCTTGCTTCCCCTACTCACTCATTCCTCATTCCCCCAAAAAGAAGATAAACAGTAGGAAAATTAATCAAATATTTAGGGGTTGGCTTCTTTTTGCTCTCATGTGGAAGGAAGGGAAGCTCTGACTTCAGGGATAGCTCTGAAAGTTATTGTAATAAAGTGTATAATATTGTCTTATTCATCACAGCATCATTTCTCTCTTACTAACTCATTCCAGGAGGATTGAGAAATGCTGGAGTTTATCATCCTAATGGTCTTGAGGGGAAAATCTTTAGGCAAGTCAACAATGTCTGAAGGCAACTGTGCTTGGTGCTTTCTTTAGAACAGCGTGCCCCTTGCTTTTTGTGATTAGAAACTGCCTCAAGTCAGCATGTTTGACATCCAGAGCTTGGAGGCCAGAAACACTGTGGAGAAAACACTCTGCTTTAGCTGGTTCTTATTCAATGCATTTGTTTTTGTAAATCTAAATTTGCCATAGTTCTCTCTGCCTGTGCATTGTGTACATATTCCTGAAATACCCCATTTCTCAATTCCTCCTCAAGGATGTCAGTCATAAAGCTTTGTTTAAGATCTAGGTCCATGTGAAAGGAATCTTAATGCTCCAAGACACAGATGAGTAAGTACTGGTGCTTAACCCAAATTTTCCTCATTTCCTTGAGTCTGCTGTTTTTCCTCCATAAACAGAATAAGCTATTTCACAGTAGTTTCATTATTTATTGGTTTTTATTCCCTAACTATAATTTGGGTTTATGCCTACTCAGGTGCACTGAAACTGTCAGGTGCCTCCAGAACTGCACACATATCTAAAATAATGTTGTCCTGTTTGTTCCTTCAAATTGGAAAAGCAATATAATTTGAGTATTGCTGAATAGAACATTGCACATGTTCTTTAAGAATGCTAGACAGTGTGAGATGTGGGCTTTCTTTAATCAGATTCTGCATATGATTTATTAAATTGTGAAAGGTCATATGCTCAAGAAGGTTAAAAGGCAGGTGGTATTTTAAAAGCAATTGTTGTCACAACTTGTAATTGCAAGGGACAAAGGGAAAGGTTGAAGAAAATGTTTGCATTACCTGTTGACCATGATAAAATACAGCTAAAAGGAACATTGCCATCAGTAGTAAAGATGCCTCCTTTGTACCCAGGAAGTCTGTGCTGGAAACAAACAAACAAACAAACAACAAAGTAAAATACAGTTATTTGTTTTCCAGTGTTGTAATTGTTCAGAAGTTTCATTTCATAAGTGGCAATTTTTGTTGTTCATTAAAAAAAAGCCAAACCAATCCACTGTATTTGAAAATTTAATTTAGCAATAATTAGTTCAAGAGAACAGGAGTGTAATTGGAGAGCTCCCTGTTTGGAGGCACATCTTAAGTAACTAAATTGTAGCCTACAGGAGGCACGCAGGAGGTGATGAGCTTTCACTTTCAAATGTGATATGCAAGCTGTGTGTCAGTCAGTCTCTTCCTGGCAGCCTGGTGACAGCCCCTGTGGGGTGCAGGAGGTGACATCGTGGGGGGGAAAGGTTGAGGTGGAGCTGACAAAGGGAAACTTCCAGCTGTGAAGTAAAATTGCAGTGAATAAAGCTAAAGGATGAACTCCAAGGCGGGAGCTGAAATGAAACCTCCCCATATTGTGAGAAGGGTTTGGAGAAGACAGGGATATAGCAAGGATTAAAAGAGAACCAAAAAAAATGGCAAGCAGTAGCTAGGACTGGTTTTCCTGAGCTACAAAGAGACCAGAGAAGCCTGTGACAAGGGAGGTAAAGGAAACCCTTGCAGACCACAGGGAAGCAGAGAAGATGAGCCAAGCCGATGCTGGCTGTAGGAAATCTGCTGAATGAAATCACTGAAGTGCAGTGCATGGAGCACAAAGAAAGTTAAATAAAATTAAAGGGGTTAAAAGCAGCAACAGGGGGTTTCAAATATTGAGAGAAATTACAGTTATGTGGAAAGATGAATAAAAGCTGAAGAAAGTATCTCTGTATGCCAGGGTGTTTTTTAAAAAGCATGCTTCCCAGGGAACAGACAAGAGTTTGGGGAAATGATAGAACCAAACTTATAGTAAAGCAAATGAGAGAAAAAAATAATTTGGAGTTGAATTGAACAGGGATAGTTGTCAATTATTTTGTTGAAGGGAGATGAGAAAAGGAAGTTATGTGGGGATAACTCCTTGAAATTTTGAAAAAAAGAATAAATGAGTAAAAGAGGACCAGAAATTGAAAGAGATTTTGGGACAATTTTTAGTCTGCCTTGAGATCTAAGGACAAAGCAAAGTCCAGATACTGGATCTGTTTTCCATAGTAATTTTTAAAGAAGTATGGGATGCTATTTGTCAGATGACTCCTATGACAGAGAAATTTGAGAAAGAAAGAACAGAACTTGAGACTAAACCAAAAAGAAACTTTCTAGTGAGAAAGATAACTGAACTGCCTTTGTGGTCCTAATGAATTTACTGTGCTGGAAATGTGCTGCTGTGGGATGAGTCATCAATACAGAGCAAGAGCAAGCAGGAAGTAACCTTGTCATCTGCGAATATGTTGGAATTCAAATATTTCCTATTTTGAAGTTGCCCAAAATACAACCTCCAAATGAACATTTCAAAAGGACCCTTTGTACACTGGGTAAAGGCAAGAGCCTTAAAAGCCTTAGTTATAAACTCACCTGTTACTGCATTTGTGGGGGTGTTGTACCCACCACAGCTGGATGAGTTTTGTAAGGAGCTGCAAACCCTTTTATTCAAATGATTTATATAGCTAAAAAAAACCCCAAACAATTCAGGGCACACAGTCTTGAAATTCATTGTCCCTAATATAAGAGCATAAGTTCATATCCTTGTTGTGAGAGTGGAGCATCTCAATTGATTTCCTTATGTCTTGGCCTGTTGGCTACTCCAGGGAATATTCCTGCTTCTTTCTCACTCTTCTGTGATAACAGTCACTAGAGAGTTTTATTGACAGGGAATAGTGGCTGCTCTGAATTCTTCAAGTTTTTTACACAAAAGAGATTCTTTGCCATGCCTGGTTAGTGACAATTATCATGATTTCTACTTCTGGTTACTTAGCCAAAATATTGCTTACTGCCGTTTGTCAGATTTGCTGGGGTCTGTTCTGGATATATGATATGTTCTACAATGATAACTAGCATTAGAAAAAGGAATTTCAGCCAAATCTCTGGTACCTTGGTACAGTTGTAAGGAAGTAAGGAAAGCTATGCATGCAGAGCCTTGCTATGTGTAAGGATGTGGCTGTTGGAACAATTAATTGTACTGCAAATCTCTGCTTTTCTCTCACTCTGAGCATCTTCATCTGCATTTGCAAGCACAAACAACTGCAATACTACCCTGGTCAAGTATCAAAGACTGAAGAAGTGTTTTTCTGAATGATTTAAATTACTGCTGCTCTAGATTCAGTTATTGCAACACTAATTGCATCTCTGACTCTGCAAATCATTGCAGTTCTTCTGCTCTCTTCAGTTCCTCTTCCTGGAGAAGAAACCTGGGAGGAGGAGAAGGAGGAGGAGCATGTCCTTCAAGCACTCTCCTACAAAACAGGATCATGCCTGTGTTCCTTATACCTTTCACAGGTGCACATTATTTGTTTGGATTTTATTCTGAAAAAATCAATCCTTCAATCCTGTTTTCTTAAACTGAGAGGAATTTTTCAGTTGGTATCTCTGGAGCTTTCAAGAATAGAAATGACCAAGGTATGTGCATTGCAATGCATATTTTTAGTTGGCATTGATAGACTATAGGAGGCATAAAAGACAAGTCCTGGTCAATATGTAAATGCCCTTATGAAATGAACATTTTAATAAAAAGGCTTGAGGAAAAAAACAGGTTATGAATCACTTTGAATTAGTCATTGCCTGTTGCAACCATCACTCCACATTTAACTATGGTGCTATCCAACACACTCATACTCTGGCAAGGCTTGAACCATCACCTTAAGAAAAAGCAGCTCCTGGAGGGGGCTGTGAACACTTACTCTCCATTGTGGTGAAAGTTGTCATATTGCAGGAAAAGGGAAGCATAAATGGTCTCAGTCAGCAGAGAGTAGATGGCAATCATGATGAGAAGTACTGCCAGCTTCAGGACAGAGTTGAGACGAAGAAAGACTGCACAGGTCACCATTGCCAGCACACCAGTGAAGACAAAATACTGAACAGAAAACAGCACTGGTTAATTTGGTGAGCAGAGATAAGCATCTATGTGAGCAATCGAGTAACCAGAAGTATGGAAAGACTATTTGGATTTTCAGTGCTCAGCTAAGTCCTTTCAGGGCCCAGGGCATTTTGAAAATAAGTGTTTTGCTAAAATAGAAATGAAATTACAAATTCTCTATTTTTCATAGTACCTTCATGTCAGCAGAGATCATTTTCTGTGCCTTTATAGCATTTTCATTGCATTATAAGTGAAACATCACCACATCATCTTCTATAATTAAAAGAGAAAAGGGAGAGATGCTTCAAGCAGTAGTTTGCCACTGAAAAGTCTACCGGGAGGAAAAAAAATTATATTCCTTTGGAGTCTAAATTTCCACAAGACCCACAAAATACTCAGGATGGGAAAATAATATTTTTCTTTTAATTCTTCCCATGCTACTGGAGAGAGGATAAAGCCACAGATTTGGGCTTTTTTTTTTTTTTTTTTTTTTACACTTTAAAAAAAATTAATATTGTAGGTCTAGCTTGGTTACATTATTCTCTTAAAATGTAATGCCTGGAAATTTTATTCATATATTATTTTTTAATCTTTTCATTGTCTCATTTTTATCAATGATTAGTCATCTGCCAAATGCAATCCATGCAGCTGATACTGGATAGAGAGAGGCAATCATGGTCATGAGCTGCTCAGACTCAAAATAGCAACATCAACACCCACAGTCCAAATGTAGTTTAAATTAACTCCAATCACACAGCTTTAGGAGCGATCATATTCATTTTTCTGGATGCAGCTTTTCTTTAGCACAGTTTCTCTGTAGGAAAGTCTGCATCCCTGCTGTTTGGAGCATGCTGCTGGCAGTATCATGACACTGCCATATGACTTTCTAAGCAACATACTTCTCTTATCTACACATGACCAACACATTGATTTTGTTGCCTGCTTGCTCATCTTAGAGAGGGTTTCTTTATTTTTTTTTTCTCCAAAACCAATCTTAAAATAACCATAGCAGTCTAACTACTCTCTTGGTCATGTAAGAAGTTTTGCTCTCCATTACATTCATGTGAATTAGGTCGTGTGTTCTATTACACTAGGTTCATTAAATCATTGCTGGGTGTGTTCTCAGCATAAAGGTTCTGTATAATGTTCAAAGGTTAAATTTTATTTGCAACACCCCATTAGATCTTAAGGTTAATTCCTTCTGTAACCAGTCTCTGCTTTTTCTATCAACATATGGAAATGTTCCCTTCTTCACAGTGTTGAGCCCCACTCCACCACAAGGTAGTGGTTGCCATATAACCTTTGTGGATCCACACCTCAGATTCAAAAGTACCCTCAGAAATACCTCAGGACAGGAACAGATGTCCGTAAAAGAGGCAGAGGAATTGAAGGTCTGGTTCTTCAGGGCAATTGGTTTGTCAAAATCACACCACAGCTGTGAAGAAATAAACCAAAATCAGGTCTATATTTGTGCACTGGTGTTTAATTGCTTGTCTGGCTGTCTGGGTTCAGGGCTGGGACTGGCTGACCTGCTGCTCTCCATGCCAGCTCCCCACCTGGCACCAAGGGCTGAATAAATGGAGAGTAAAAAGACATACTGTGCAGACGAAATGGAAAAGGGGGAGCTACTTGTGCTGCATATATTCAGCATCTGAATAGCCTCCCTATGCTCTTTTTCCAGAGCAGAAAAGTGAGTTCCTCTGGGACTTCCAGAGGACTCATCCTGGACTCTTAAGAATGGTCTCTCAAAGTGCTTAGACTTTGTTATAAACTATAGAGAAAATTATTTAATTGGGAGCATAAAATCAGATTGAATGTGTGCCCTTTCTGCAAGCTGTTTTCATCTGCTAGGGATAGTGTTATCCCTTTGGATATAGGACATCCAGCCTTCATTTTCATGATATCACACAGACTTGGTTGTACCAAAATGGGATGTGGTCCCAGAACAGCAACTGTGATGCTTAAAACAAAAGGGAATAAAAATTCACTCATGAAACTATAGTTATGATACTGTAATATTACTTTTTGTTGTTATGACCTGCATTGATTTTAATGGTATTTCCAACCAAGAGCATTAGACACAAAGAAACCAACATTGTGGAGTTGAAATACATTATGGTCTTAAAATGAAGGAAAAAAATCATTAATTGTTCCATGTTTTGACACTTAAAGCAGATGGAGTCTCCTGTCATATATATTTATGTACTCTGGATGATTATAATAGGTCATGTTATTAACCTGGTGTGTACAAGCTAGTTAAAGGTCTTTTTACCCAATTGTTAAAGAATTCATTTAATGAGGCCCAATTTTTTATCATTAAATTCCAATTAATTTTGAGCTTGGGACCCTTCTGTTTGTTCTTTTAGCCATTCAGCCATCTCTGCAGTGCAGGAGTGTTACCCGGCTGGCTGTGCACTCTTCTGTGACTCCAGACAATTAATTCTGAAAATTTATGAGGTATAGAACACCTCTCTGCAGGGCAGAATGTCACAAGAACAAGTACAGGTGTTTTCTAAAGACACTTTCAGGATCAGAAACTTAACTTTATAACAATCAGAATGCACTTAAGACTCACAAGGCTCATTTTCCCCCCTGGTGAAACCAAAGTTTTATGGCTCAGAAAGCATCTGAGTCTTAGACCTCTCCAGTTGGCTGCAATTGAACTCAGTAAACACATAAAGCTGCAAGGCTGAGATGCATTACCTGTTCTTAAATGCATGCGGGTACCTCCTGAACAAACTATTGTTATGGAAGAACTTGGACTTATAAAATAATGAGAGTATATTTTTGTCATTTCCTATAAAGATCAGGACTCAGTGACTCAAGTCATTGTCCAGCTAAATATAAGACAATACATATGACTGTTTCCTGCTTTTTACGAAACCACTGGTGAGACAGTAAAATGTAATTTTCTTTTGACTGTCTTTGGATTAGCTAACCCAAAAAATTGCAGGGGACAAATCTTGAAAAATAATGCACAAGAAATCAGGACAAATAACAAATTTGGCATAGATAGTGTGTTAGAGATCTCTTTTTTAAGATCAAGGCTAATTGTACCAAAATCTTTCCTGAAAGGTGTTTCTTACACATGATTTTAAAACTTTTAAATTCTAAAACACTGCATACTAATTTATATTGTAATGCACCACTGTCGTTTTCTTCAGGAAGTGTTCAGCCCAACTGAACTTCCTAATATTTACCATATTTATATTTTTTCAGTAATGATAAAATACATTTTTCTTTCTCTGACGTTTTCTTTCTCTGACTTACTGTCCCATCAGTGATACTTTTAATCTATCTGTAAGCTATATACCACATTTTTGGCTCAGACTTCAACACCTGTCAGGTTGTCTGACATTATAATCTGCCTAAATTATGCAAAACTCTCTCATGTTGCTGAATATATCAGCATAATCAGGGCCTTAGTGGAATTTTTAAAGTTATTATTCTAGCAATTGTTTTATTTTTGTTAATAATCTAAATAATAGTAGAACTGCAAGATGATCTCAGAATTTATGAGAGGAAGAATTTAATATCCATAAGCACTTTTTGGATTCACAGTCTCTAAGAAAGTATTTCAGCATGTCAGAAAATTACAAATGGTCCTTAAAGAGTTGATATGTTGGACAGAAACTGGACAAAAGGTTTTAAAAATAGATGATACTCACGAGGGAGAAATAATTAGATACTTCAGAAATACATAGATCAAGCAACAGATTGAATTTCCTGAAGCTGTGATGTTTTGTTTTTTTAATGTTATCTAAATCACAGACAGCTTATAGATGTAGTTAGCAAGTCCTGTAGCAAGCTTAATAATTCATAAATCATCTTTTACTGTATAATATTCCTTGGTTCCCTATAAACTTACAATATTGATGATGGCTCCAAGAAAATTAATCAGAATGGATGCAAAGATAATGACATTCCTTGCCAAGTAGGTCTCATTAATCCAGCAGCAAGTTTTCCGGAGCATTAAGGGCAAACATTTGTAATCCTCTGCCGTAGTTATCAGCACGAGAGCAGAGTGCAGCATAATCAGGATAGAAAACTGAATGACCATTGGGATCACCCTGGGAAAAAAAAAATCCAGCATTAAATCTCAACACAGTCAATAAATCAAGGGAAAAGCTGGACTACATGTCCATGTAGAACTAGTTAAGGGGGTCAGGAGGGCTCATCACCTGTGTGGTTTTGGATACTATTCATCTCACTGCATAGTAGTCTCAGGTTTATGCAGATAGAAGCCAACTTGAGATTCACATTAACACATTCTGCAGTGGCTATACTTTGATACCAGGTTATGTACACTGACAGAGGATCATGCAAGATTAATTCCTTCAGTTTCCCACAGTACAGCAGTATTCTGCAACAACCTTCTTGCTTTGCAAAGCCAAGTGGCTGTGATCCGATTTGGAACTGATAGTTTCTAACTATACCTCAGATATATATAGACAGTCTATATTTGCTGGTGTAGCCTACCAGTTCTGCTAACCTAGACTGATCCAGCTCTGAACAAAACCAAATTCAGGCCTTCAGAAAGATTAGGATCAAGCCTCAAGAGGTCCAGCCTGAGGACACTAAACATTAGGTCTTATTTTGAACTGCCAAACTCTGCATGTAAGACCCATATTACTGAATTAAGGTACTATAAAGGGAGCACAACTAAGTCTGGGATATAAACCCAAAGTTGCAGAATAACCTGCTTATGTGCCTGAGAACTGAGACCTTGTGTTTGTTCGCAATAAATTTGTAGGCAACAATTTTTTTTCCACTGTAGCTGTTCAGTTGAAGACTGATGTACTTGTCTCTTGCCTAAGCATGCTTGATTTAAAAACAAAACTGAAGGTGGCATAGTATGACCTCTGAGAAGAACAATCCAGTATCTGTGCTGAGATTTTGATGGGAGTATGCTGATAGGATCAACTACAATAAAATGCATTGACAAGGTTAGAGGAACCCAAACAAAAAACCATAATAATTTCTTGTCCATGACCTTCTCCCAGAACTAGGACACCAGGCTTGGATCTCCCCTTCATTCAAGATGAAGTTCAAGACCAATAGATTTTCTTTTCAGGGATTCTCTTACTGCCAAGATCAAGTGAAGTTTAAAAAGAGCTTTTGCCTTCCGTCTTTCTGATGTACAGTCCCAAATCAACTGATTTGAGCCAAAAGGAAAACTTATGTAAAACAGAAGATGCTAGTTTTTAAATTGATAACAATTTGAAATATGCTTTTTTTTCCCTCTCAAAATAAAAACCCAGTGAAAAATGGGCAGAAATAAGAGTATTTTAGCAGTCTAGTGAGACCTATTGTCCACGTGAGCATATAAATAGCTCATTGCAGGAAATTGATGAAAGCTCCCAGGTCTTGTACATGGAGAAGATGAATCACTGTAAAGCTGGCAACATAATATAATGGTTTCATAAAAGACAATTATGGTAAAAAATATGGCATTAATTTATCTCTTAGAGTAATTTCCCCAACTCCATATTTCAAAGAATGAAAACTATTGCAGAGATTTTTAAATTCACGTGCATCTACCCTGTCCAGGAAAAATGCATGAATGGATCAAATATTTATCCTTAGGGAGACAGATATAAACTGAGATAAAATTCTGAAACTTCCATACCTATTAAATTTGAAATATGATTCCCTTCTTTAACACACAGACTAAGGTAAAGTCTCTGAGAAACTCCCCAAAGAACCTTACTAATAAAGGCTCTATGACAATTTAAATAAAATTTTCACCAAATTTTCAGAAGCCAAAAGACTCAGCTCAAAAAATATTCACACATCTACTTAATCAAATACAAAATTTCATCCTTGTTCAACAGAAATCTAAAGCATTCACTGAAAAACTCCTACATGTGTTTTTAGGAAACGAGTAAGTTACCATGAGGACTGAATGATAGCTTGTTAGTGGTTTCATGGAAACTATTTCCATGGTTTTCCACCCTATTATTTTACTTCTCTGATATTTACCAGAAGCATAACAAATGAATATGCAGTTATTTCAAGAATTCTCTGAATCCAGATCCTGTCTAACTTTGTGATAGTTTGTTCAATTGCTCATGCCTTGAACTGCTTTTAGAACTGGAACTTAGGAAATTTGAACTTCCAGATTATCTTCCCATCCAATATGTTTAAGCATATTGAAACCTTCTCACTCAAAAACCCTATCCTGTTATTTTAGGGCTGCTCATCTGTTGACAGGCATGCTTTTTAAAAAACTGAAACACACTTTTTGAAGCAAAGTATCAGAACATTTAAAAAATAAGACCAAAATTTGTCTCCTTAAGCCTTGACAGTGATCTTCAGCTCCTGACAGACCATAGGAACTGCCAATAAACACGCATGTGTCTCCAAAGCTTCTCTTACAAAGGGGGGATTGGTAAATATCCTTTGCCTAACTATCTTCTCAGGTTCTAGCAATCATCCTTCCAGGGCATTCTTGAAGACAAGGTCACATTTTTTTAAAAACTTCTGCTGATCTTTTCTTGTAGGAATTTATCCAACCTTAATTTTGACCTATTTGTATTTGCAGCCTTTTTAACATTCAGTGACAAAAAGGTCCTCAGGGAAAAACACAAGACTAGTGGCAAGATGAGAAACTAGGAGGGGAGACAGCTGCAGGCAATGTGTTTGTGTGACTCCAATGGCACTAGACACCCTCACAGGAGTTAACAGAGATGAATCTGTGCAGGTAGGAAAACATGTCTATTTTTTTTTTTTTCTTTTTTTTTTTTTTTTAATCTGATATGGCAGTGATTGATATAGCAGCAGAAATTTTTTGGAAGACAGGTTCTGTTAATAAGATCCATAAATCTTGTACATACTGAGGAAAAAAAATAACAAACAAAAAAACCAACCAAACAAAAACGTCTACCAGAAGTGAAGAACTTTAAATGTGTACTGGGAGAAGAGCTTTTAAAAACCAAGCAAACTTATTAGGGGCAATATAACACATAAGGAACAACAGAAGGTCACATGCTACTCCAGGTACTTTGTCAGCTAAGAATTACAAAACATGTGAGATAACACTGCTACAGAATGTATTTGCCTGCCTGCACCTAACCCCCACTTTGGTGTTCTCAGACATCAACCTGGTAACTCACATCTTTCAGAAATTATCCAAGAAATCCTGCTGCACCATTGTAACACAATAAATGTCTTATTTCTTGTACAAATAATGTATTTTCAAAGTTACTCTGCTGTCAGCCACAGGTTAAGGTTCATCTGAGTGCTAGAAACTGCCTAAGAAATATGTTATTCTGGGAATTCTCTTTTAACACTTGCTCTGTAAAGACCACATGGGAGCAGAGGGTTGTTACAGAGGCAGTCCTGTTCTAGAAAACAGACCTCAATCCATGCACATATTCTTGTGATCTCATTATTAAATTGTAGACAAAAATGCCAAATGATATGTTTGAGTCTGTGAAATGTGGACACCAAGGTTTCATCTGTGTCAGATTTTCATCACCTTGATAGGAATATATTGCTTGGTCAGCCCCAAAGGAGAGCACAGTGAAAACAGATCTACCAGATCACCTCCATGCTTATTAATAGCCTGAGACTGCTTTTCCCAGCTGTGCAAATCACATTGTCAGCAGCAAAGCAAGCAGTACAATTCTCTTACAAAGCATTTATTAAACAAAACCAAGAGTCACTGATACCCGAGGTGATTATCAATCACTTAGCAAAGAGGCACAGTTATTGTTCTGGATCGTGTTCCACCAGGACACACTGGAGCAAATTTTTGTAACCCAAAATTTCCACTTAACTTGGTGGTAGTTCTACTTGAAAGCAACAATATAACATCAGTACATGCTGCTGTCTCACTTGAAAACATGTAGCTGTAGATATTGTGGTAAAAAAGTAGTTAGTATTGCAAAAAAGTGAACAAATATTTCCAAACACTTCTGGGGAACAAGCAGATTTTATTGGTTCATTGCACATAAATCCTAAAAATGTTATTCCAGTGTGTCCCTAAGAGTGCCTTCAGATGTATAGAGATATATTTCTGTATTTACCTGGAAGAAGGGAGCAAGCTTTGGATAGCGGTGATAAATACAAGAACAATAAATGCACACACCAAGTTTGATTTGAATACTTCATCCCGCATTTGAGAATACTAGAATAAAAAAAAAAACAACACACAGAGAAAAGTAAATTAGCTGTTAACACATGAAGTAGTTTCATTAAACCTGATGTATATAGAAGACACTGGGAAAATTAGCACAATGCAACAATAAATCAATAAACATGAATTTTGCTTGAAAATAAAACCTATCAAATAAATCGTTAATAATCTGGTAAAATATTTTAACCAAGAGAGCAAAAATCTGTAATTTGCAATACAAAATTGTTCTTTGTTCAAAATTATTCACTTTAAAAATTCTGAGGTAGATACCAGGAGCTTGTGCTGCTGCGTAGAATACTAAACATTTAATTGGTTAATAAAATACTTAATAACCAGAGAAACCATGAATTTCCTCACATGAAGACCAGCACTGGAGTCATCTGTGACTCTGCATGCATGATGGCACAGAGGTGTTTCCATGATGGCCAAATTGAGGCTGCTCTGCTATTTTTTCTAATTTTCTTTCTAAAGAAAATTATGCAGTTAGAATATTCTGGGACTATTTGGGATACTGGGATGCCGAAATTCTGTATTCTAACAAAGTCAGAGGCTGTGTGGAAACTTGACAATATGGGCATTCTCCAAATGTAAAAGACTATTTGAGGTGCATTATTATAAAGATTTATTGAAAACATCTTTTTCTCCAGCATATCAGACAACTGAGAATGCTATCAGGTTCCTTTTTTGATGGAAATTACCAAGAAATGGAGTAACAGACACATCCATAGATAACAGTGGAGCAGTTAAAGTGGAAATATTAACCAAGTCCTCAGCTGTTATTTATCATTGCTAATTCAATTAAACTGCAGCTGTTTACTGCAGATGAAGATTAGTCCATAGGAATATGTTTTGTAATTCTCCATATCCTTTATGGATGACACCAAAGTTTCTTTGCTTATAAGAAATCCTGCAAAGGCTTGCCCCAGTCATTTTTCTTCCTCTGAACAATAACTTCATTTTCTTTAAACTTTTGCTGTTTCAAAGGGGCTGAAAACAAGGTTATAAGAGTCAAAGCAATATCAGATACCAGAATCTCTCTCCAGAAATTTGGAAATAGGGAAAACTGCTGTAAATGCCTAGAAATTTTTATAATATTAAAAAATTATTAAGAAATTTTTCAAGAACATACATACACTGAGAGAGTCCAGCTTTGAACTGGATTTCATAGATAATTTGCTCTTGAAGTGAGTTCCTAGTTTAGACTTAGACTTTCCCTACATGGACCTTTAGTTGGAACATCATCTCAGCATAAACATCTGATCAAAACAGTCTTGAGCTCCCAGATGGAAAAAAGGTTTCACTTCCCTGCTCCCATTTGTCACAAGTAAAAGAGGGGCTTTCTGTGTTGCTGTCCCTCATTTTGACTCCTCCTCTCCTGTGATTCTGCCTTGTGGCTGCTGCTGGCAGTGTCACTTAGGCATGATTTTTGGCCACAGGTAATTCCACTTCATTTTGCTGCTGGAACCCCAGAGGCACTGACCCTGATTTCATGTGCAAGGAAACAGAACTGCATTAGTCTGCATAAATAATGGACCAGGGCTTCTTTCATACAGGGAAAAAGAAAGGTATGTTCCTTAAAATATAGCATGAAATCCCAACTGTTCCATAGGGAAATTAAGGCAAACTAGATGAATGAAATACAAACATAGAATGGCCTGCTGTGTTGAGCATTATGTCAAAAGGATGGATGCTGTGTTCTAATCAGTAGCAGCATTGTGATGAGGAATTGTTGGCATCCCTAGGCAGCCCTGACATAAATGATAAATGTAGCAGCTCTGTAGCAGTCTACCCCTTAATGACTTGGAGAAGTAATTGAAGGATTCACTAAGCCTCAAAGCCCTTCAAAAATCATGGGGAGGCATGTAGCCAGCCAGAGCTGTGTAGAGTGGTAGGAAGGGTCGTGATGTGTCCTTGTCTGCAGTGAAACCTTCCCTGCAGCACCCACAGAGCCACCTGTGCTGGTGTGACTTGCTCCTGGCCCAGGGAAGGCTCCCATGGGGCTTGGGCCATGTACCTGCACTGCTGGGAGGGAACTGTTTATCCATGCCAGCTGGCTGAAACCAAGAAAGGCAGGATCCTCCTCTTGAGTAATGCTGCTTATTCCTCACCTCTCTCTTCCTAAGCCTCTTTGAAATGGCAGCACCAGTAATATGACAGGCTCACATGTTCCCCTAAAGAAAAGGTTTGTGCTCTGGGGAGGAAGGTGTTTGGTCTTATCCTCACTGCTGCTCCTTGACTCAAAGAGGACCTTATGGATTGAAAGGGACACCAGGTTTGTTCTTCATCAGAGTAACATTGGAAAAGTTTCTGCAACACAGGAGAGGAATGGAAGAATATGATTCAAGAAGCCTAGGAGAGGAGAGGAAATGAACTTCTGAAAAGACCAAAGAGGAGACAGAGCTCCAGTTGCTGACCTGTGATAGAAAAGTTGTTGACCAGGCACAGAGTTTGTCCAGCATCTCTTGCAGAATTCCTTGCAACTGGAAGTTTCTGAGTTGAAGAAAGGAGGGCATGACTGTGGCTGCTGAGATACAGCAAGCAGGAGGAGCAAAATTGTTTTCCTACTCATGTAATTTCTATTTATCTTACCAGTCAGAAATTGTGAAACAGAGAAACTCAGATATTTATGTCTAATATTTGAACTAAGGAAATGTGTACTTTGAAATTCAAAGCTCTTTTGATATTTCCAGTGTGCTCACCTCACAGAAAATACATAAATGTTTCATGTCTAAGCCCAGACTGTTTTCTAATTCAAGTACAAATATGCAGGAAGACTTTGAATATCTTTAGACAAATCTTTACATTGGAAACTTTCTTTAATAAATCCCTACAGCATGTAAAATTCCCTGTCCTGTGCCTCTGCTTTACCCTGCATGAAAGTACATGGTATGAATATTTTAAAGTTGCTGGTATTTAGGGAGATCATAATGATGATATCTTTTAATTATTGGAATAATCTGAAGTAGGATCAGATTTTCCTATGAGCTGTAATATAATTGGAAATTTTAGTATCTTTTCATGCTACCATTAGAAGCACCTTCCTGAGATGATCTGCCTACATGCTATATACTAAAAAAACCTCTAGCAAAATTGAGGGTAAATTGTTTCTAATTGAAATGCCATATCAAGCATTAATGAGTGAAATACATGTTAGTAATTACGAGTCAATTTCAGTAAAGAATCTATAAAATGCACCAGGTTGGACCCTGCACCTATAAAAATGCAGAATCATTTTCATCAGAAATGAATGAATCAGGAATTCAAATCCTATGAAAAATGAAACATTGCAGAATTCATATGGAAATACATATAATGTCTCAGAGAGATAACCTGTTCTCTAATGTAACTGCTACTGCCTGCTGTGGAATTAGAAGGACAAAGAGAGAGGAGTGGCAAAATATTCCAGTGACTTAAACTGCAGTGACGTAGCAGTTATCTAAATCAGTATAAACCAGGACCTGTGCCAGCTCCATGGAAATTTTGTGTATGTTGATTCCAGAATTGTTTTGGGTTTTTTTTTTCCCCCTAACCTTTTGAAATCTTAAAGGAAGAAATCCACAAATTTCATGGCTAGCATAACATGTTGATTCCAGAATTGTTTTGTTTTTTTTTTTTTTTCCCCCTAACCTTTTGAAACCTTAAAGGAAGAAATCCACAAATTTCATGGCTAGCATAAACCTGATATCTGGAATTGCTTTATAGTGAAAAATCTTCAAACAAACCCAGAGTGTTTAAACAGAGGTCCAGTAGAGTATTTCAGATCCATTCATGTCACCCCATGATCCCACATCATGGTTGTCCTGCTACTAATGCAAGAGGAAGGAATATAGTTTATTGTTCATTTTCTGTCATTTGAGGAACAGAACATTAACACAGTTCTCACTGAACAAGGTAAAGGTAACACTTCTTGGCCAGGATCTCGGCTATTTAAACCTGAATTTGCTGTGTTTCCTAAATGGACTGGTAGAAGGGAGAAAGAGTAGTAACAAGATGGGATGGAGAAAATAGCTGCTTTCTGCAGTAAAATAATTCAAATATTACTTCTTCCATGACTGCCTGAAACCCATGGTTAAACACTATGGTTATAAAGACAAACCTGTAATTACTGCGCAGGCATGCAGGAGGGAAGGGACATTTCCCATGCTGTTTACATGCATTTGCTCCTGTCTACAACAAAGAGGACACTATGATTCATCTTCCCTTAATCCACATCATTTCTTTGTATCCTGGTACATTCCCCATCACTATCTGAGCACCCTGAGCAGAAGCAATGAGGTTTCTGACCAGAGGCTGTCCAGCTGTTGGTGGTGGATATGCCAGAATAAAGCAGTGGTGACATTTTTTAAAACTTTACTCCTCTTAATATGAGAAAACAGTTGAATTTATGAAAAAGAAAGAAGACTCAGTCAACTTTCCTGAACAGATTTTATACTTCTATTGCCTGTGCTACTAGTTGAGACTAACACCTAAGGAAATATTGAATGAAAGTATAATTCTCCAAACATTGCATCCCAATTCTCCACTATCTTACTGGGAAGAAAGTTTACCAAATCTGCTAAAACTTTAAGTTTTAAATAGACTTTTTTTTCATTCAGATGTAATTAAAAATTTTATTAATATTTTAAATCTGGCCTATGTAATATGATGGATCAGGGCATGGATCTTTTTCATTTCTTAAATTGCATTTAAATTTAATTCCAGACTACCCTTATATTTTTTCTTTGTGGCTGACAATTGTGAAATATAAAATAATAAGAGAGTTTATTTTCTGGATATGGGATCTGATTCTGGGCAGTGCCCTTTTACACCAGCCCATGCTCAAGCCTTCTGTGATTAAATAGCACAGTAAAACAAGGTGAGCCACTGACAAGTTTGCTCATTCATCAAGTTGTTTGTGATCATGCTGCTTCGTCCTTTAACAAAAAAATTTCAGATTCTTTCACCATATTTTTTATCTTGTGTCTTGAAAAGATTAAAGATTATTTGTGACTCCTGGTACTTTATGTAGTAGTTCATTTGATATCGGAGATCTTGAATTTTGCTTGCTCTGGGTCCATGTCACCTTTGCATGATGACTGCACTGAAAGAAGTATCTTCATATCTTCCTTTCCAGGAGATAATTACTTGTCGATAATTTAGTTTTGGGTGTTCTATCTTGTGTCTCAGTGTAAATATCCTCATGAGGAAATGCAATCTTGTATTTCTGTTTCAGCAAACATTTGTTGTTTCTTCTACAAGACTACTAACGCAATAAGGGCTTAGATATACTTCAAACAGAATTTTTCTTTTCCAGTTGTCGTGATAAGACTCTTACTGATCAGCCTTCCTGAGGACTAGTGTCTCATAAATCAAGTAAAAATGTCTGTTTTCCAGTGGAAGTTGGAGTGATGATGGAGAAGTGAGCCTCCATGCTTTCAATTCCTCGCTATTTATATTTCCTTTCAGTCAAGTGCACATAGTATTGCAGACCTGCTGTTGCTGCACTGTCATAGCATATGAGATTATCAAAGAAAGTAAATGAAATTATTTCAGACCTGCGCAACTTCACCCCGTGCCATCAGCTTTCAAGGAGTGTTCTTCCATTACCTTATCTTTTAAAATTTATAACTTACATCTGGATGTAGATTGAAAGAGAAGTTAATGAGATCATATTGCTGTTGAGAAGCAGCAAAGACATGAAATATATTTACCTCTTAGAAGCAGGTTTTTTAAAGAAGGATGTTTAAAACAGATTTGAAAAATTACTCTTGACTTCAAATAAATATTGCAGCTGCATGGAAGACATCAGAGGGATTCTATGACTAAATGGAAGGAACGTATCTATGTAAATATAGATATATATATTTTTGAATAGAAATGTAAGTTTATTAATATGCTCAATCAATATTAGTGCCAAAGTAACCTGTCATCTGACAGAAAACTGCTTGTACTCAATACCAAGTTCAACCCAGACAGTGATTGTTGTTTTCAGAAACTGAGTTTGTTCAGTGTAGATATTTTCCAACAAGGAAATGCAATAATTTCAGCATTATAGCACCTGCATCATGTCACTGTGTATTATGAACTCTAGCTCAGCCCACCTTCTGATAACTGAAACAAAATGAAAAAGAAAAACAAAGCAAGAAAAAACAACACAAGCCAGAACCTACAGCTTTTCTACTTCAGTGAACATTTATTACAATTTGAGTTGTGAATATTGCAGCTACCAAGCCCCAGCTACCTTATGCTCCAGGCTGGAGTCTTTAAACATCAGTGAAAAAGGCTTGATATGCTCTCTTCTCAATTTATCGCCACTCCGTAAGTCGATGGTGTGCTCTATTCGCTTGTTAATTTCCTCAGGCCCAGACTGGACATGCAAAGCTTGTGCAAGATGGTTTGGAAGCAGATTTATTGAATTTCTTGTTAGGGCAGCCAGAGTCTAGGGGAAAGCACATGCAAACAGAATAAACCTGCTGGTCCCCTTGGGTTAAAAATGCAATGTTTTAGTTCATGTTGCATTGCAAACCGTTACAGCATTCCATGCAATTCATTCAATGAAATCTATAGAAGTGTAAAATAATAAGTCTGTTCCACTAGACACATACAGTAGATTAAGAGGAGCATTTCAATGCCTTCTTTTTTACAGGCTAGGGGGTTTGTTGCTGCACTGAGCATTAGGACTATATTCCACTTTCCAAATCTGATATTTAATTATTAAATCTTGCATGAAGGGAGTACACACCAAAATTACAGTAGGATATCTGACTTAATGGTGTGTTTTAATAAATTACAGTGGAAGCCATATAAAACAAAGCCCACAACAGAGGAGTAATGAAGATTTTCTTATCTCAAAGTTACTGGATGTGTGTAGTTGAGGAACAGATCACTTAGTCAGGAGTGAAGAAGGTGACATTTCTGATTAGTTCAGCATGGGTTTTCAGATAATATGTTCTTCTTCACTACTGGTCTGTTTCAGCCAATCTACATTACAGTTAGGCTATATGATTTAATTTAACTGTAATTCATGTTTGTATTTAAAATATCGTCTCAAATACATTATTCCTTTGGTATTTCAATGACTAATCAAAGGAAAAAATGAAAATACTTTTGCTTCACAAAGGAATTCTAGCAGATATAGTATGAAGGGTGTTTCAACTTCAGCAAAGAGTTAGAGTTTCTTTCATAAAGAGAATAACTCATTCCCATGTTATGGTGTCATTTCATGACACAAACCACAGTGAAGCAGCTCTTTCCCACTTGAATGGGAAAAGAAACTCCACTACTGTAAAATCACAAGGGTTAAGAATTATTAATGAATGGAAAGGATGTGAAACTTCATACATCATAGCATAAGACATTTCAGCATTATTATGGGTGGGAAATAAAATTCTGCCTGAGAAAAGTTATTCCATAGGTCCTTCCTGATAAGACCTTCAGCTCTATCTCCTATTAGGCATTATTGAAACAGGAGCTTAGGATGTTTTGCCACCAGATACCCCTGGAAGGCAAATTCCTTTTTATCACAGGATTACATTGGGCAAATGCTATAGGGAGATTTCCCTTGTTGATATTCAAATTATAGTAAACAAACATATTCTACTGACTCTTGGGCAGCACATTAAAGCACAGGAAGGGACTCAAGTACCCACTGCCAAAGCCCAGGTTACAACTTTCCTTACAATCCTAAAATCAAGTCCATGGAGTCTGTAGTTGCAGATAATATTTCATGCTCCATCTTATTAAAAGTAATTTAGGATCCCAAAAAACAGGCAGAAAATATTTCTGTTTCAAAGTGAAAAGCAGTTTTCTTGTTTAGTAGAAAAAGGGCTTCAGTAGAGAAGGTTTGGGATGACACTCTGCTCTAGCCTTCTCTTCTTCTGTCTAGCAAATCACTATTATTAACATTAGGAGAAAAAAAACTGTATCAAAGAAACTTTTTTCATGCTTAAGTTTCAGATATATCTGAATTCATATCTTGGCCTTGAGGAAACAATCAAGGCAAGTGGATAAATGCTATATTATTACACACTGTGACACTACTTTAGTTTAAGTACTCCTATCTCTTTTAAACTGAACTAGGAAGAAAAGCTTTTATCAATTTGTAGTGGCTGAAAGGGCATGAGTGTGTCTGAAGTCCCTGCTAAAGGATAAGATCACATCAGATGGTGGTGTATAAATTGATTCCTCAGAATTACATTGTATTTCTGCTTCTGCACTGGAAATGAGGGTGGAGAAGGTCCCTAATGTTTTTGATGAGCATTTTGTTTTATTTATACAAGGAAAATAATCTCAGCTCATCCTGTTAGGCAACTATATTTTGGTTAAAATTCTATTTTAAGCTGTGATTGATATGAAGGTTTGTCTCCTTGCTGAATGTATGAAGTGTTTTACATCTCATGGTAGATGAACATGACATAACATCACCACTATGGCCATGGTGCCTGTAGTACTTTGCAAAAATAGACTCTGAATTTGCATTTATATTCACATTTTAACAAGGAAATTCATATTTTTATTTCATCATTTTCTCTCCCTCATATACATGCACATACTTTAAAAAACTGCTTCCCTGTGTTTAGATATAAAAGCAATGAAAAACATCATGCAAATTATTGTCTCAAGAATAAGTTCTAACCACATTTTGTCTCTTATCCCCCTCTTTGCTCTGCATCTTTTAAGACTTCTTTATGCAAACACAAAGAAATATTCATTCTTCCTATTATCTCTCCTACACTTTTGTGAGCAGCTCTATGGAAAACACAGTTATGAATTCTACAATGAGCTTTTGAAGTTTTCTGATGCTGACAATAACCATTCATGCAGTCTGAAACTGAAAGATGAGTTAAAACAAACAAATAATAAAACTCCAACTTCAGACACATTTTATACAGACTTTAAAAGGTAGCTTAGATTAGATTTTACTTCTTTCCTGGAAGTTTTCCTGCAAAAAGTTGAAGCATCCTGCTCTCAACAAGAAGGGGAATTTTTAATCTGTGCCATTTAGAATATCTTAGGAAGGTTTGAAATATTTTTTTTATACTGGGTGCATCAGGCTTTGGAAGGAAATAGGAAAATAAAAGGTCACATGCTTAAGAAGACAGGTTGCAGATAGGATTTAGCTCAAGATGAAGACACTTAAATGAGGGTGTGTACAAGTTTGGTGTCTACATGCTCAGTGTCTCAAGTTCAATTTCTTTCAATACACACTCCAGATACTTTCAGTTGCCCAATCCTATGTAGCTGTAATCAGCAGAGATGCTTTGGGGACTGGACAATAGTCACGAGCCAGGAGATGTGGCACAAGACACAGGGACACCATGTGCCACTGGTCAGTGGCGAGGACAGCTGGGGAGTGCTGGGGAATCTCAGCACAGAAATGACAACAATAACAGTGGGGTAACTGTAACATGTGAGAACCTTGGTTTTGAACTCATTTCCACCCTTTTGCTTACACCTGTCTGTCCTCTTGGCAGTCCTTTAGTATAATTGCTGTGCTCACTGTTAAGCTTCACTGCAACCACTACTAAGGTACACGTGTAAAAGACAGGCACTTTACTATGCTGTTTTTCCTAATTCACATCCTGGCAGGCCCATCAGGTGCCTCCACCAGCACATCCAGCGACCATGTTATGCTTTCAGCTACTCCTTTTCTAAGGTACATGGAAGAAATCCAACTTAAACAGTCATTAATTAATTCTAGAGGAGGAGGTCTTTACTTTCTTGAAATAAAATAAATTCTGTCCAATTTTCTTTGCTTCAAGAAAGAAGTCCAGACACTTATTTCAATAACAGAAACTTCCATTTATATTGGAGGTTTCTCTTGTCTAAACCAAATTTCAAACCCACTACGACTGGGCATATTTGAATTTCAGACAAGAACTTGCACTCTTGGCTTACCTCACAATCAGAGCAAGGGCACATAGTGATACTTGGGCTGTAGGTGTAGTTTTTGCTAATATCTGTGACTGCCTACATAAAAAGTGGTTATTTGTTTCTTACTTACATAAAAACATCTGCAATTCACTGATTCAGGCTGTTCATAGAACACAAGTTGGAGGTACCGAGTGTGGATAGGGATAAATTTGATTTTGGCTTAAGAACACCCCAGAAATTTCACGTCTCCTAACATAAGTAGAGTTAAAAGTAAGATACATGTGATCAATTGCTCAAATGTTGTTGCAATTTATATTGAGTAAAGAAATAATTTAAATTCTGTTGGCAAATATTCAAACATACAGAGTGATTCACTGCTGGGTTGCTGCTTCTACGATTCTCAAAGCCTGCTGCTGACAGTGACCTTTAAGCTGCTTAATTAGTGTTATTAAATGCTTATTCTGTCCAAGACTGACACACCTCTGGGAAACGTTACTACATCCTAGTATAATTTAAATCTATCATCTGGATTTTTTAGCTAAAATACATTATTTATGAGCAATACTGCCTATTGTCTCAACTGTAAATAAAGAATTATATAATAATTGAATCATACATAGAACGGCAGATTTTTAAAATCTTGTCTCCACCAAAAGGCTTATTGTTAAACTGTGTTATATAAAATTACAGCTTTTCCCAACACCACTTCAAATTCTTTAAAAAACTGTGAGAAACTGTTCTAAAAGTAGATTGTTTATTGCCATAAGGAAAAAAAAGTTTTAAAGAAACTGCTAAGCTATCCCTATTTCAATTACTTTCAAGGCCTTTTTTGCTAGTACTAGGAGCTGATCAATAATTGAATAAACCCACTAACCCTTTATTTTGTTCTTTGCCTTTGTTAGCCTCAAGGTCAGGTTTAACGGAGAAAATGACCAAAAAAATGAGAGCCTACTCTGCAGAGATATTTTTTTTTTTTTTTTACTACAGAGATTGGAATATCTTAAAGGGAAAGAAATAGAGTATGAGAGCCTACTCTGCAGAGATTTTTTTATTTTTTTTTTTTTACTACAGAGATTGGAATATCTTAAAGGGAAAGAAATAGAGAGAGATCACAAGATATTCACAGCAGCATGCTCCCATATCTCTACTCCTAATGAAATGACAATATAGAGACAGGTCAACAAATTACAGAAAATACTGTAAGGCAGTGCACAGGCAAATACACAGATGTACAGCACATATAAAAAACAGGTGTTTTATATAACAGCAAACTGTGCCATGCTCAAATTCAGTTTGGAGAGATGAAGACACTGCTGTGGCTGATTGATTGTGAAATTTTGTCACTTCTGAGCACATTTGTAAGAAGCAGATGACGGTTGACAAAAGCAAGACCTCCACACAACAATGCTTAAAGTTCAACAGACAGTTCAGACAAGTAGGAATAAGGATGTGCAGCAGAAGATCATCTGTCATTACAGATCCCTCAAAGAAAATGGAAGAAAACTTCACCTGACTTTGTGTCATAAAGACTCATCAATTTTCCAAGTGCCGTGAGAAAAGTGGAGTCTGAGGGCATTTTAACCTTTCCATCTTTAATTCCTCTAGACAACAAGACTTCAGAAAAAGATTTTTTTTTACACTACAACAATTGCTGTTTCCCAGGTTGCTGGCAATCAGCCATGCAGTGCTTTTGGAAAATATCTAACCAGGAGAAGTTGCTATTATCTCATATTTCTATTGAGCTACAGATGTCCTTACAATCTAACTCATCTGCTAGTGTACCTTCATTATATCTTAGAGTATGAGTTTTAAAATATTTTTTGTTAGAAAAGTGAGAAATAAAGATCTTGATTTCACAACATGCCTTTTTTTTTTTTTCCTTCCCTCGGATATCAATAAACTACTTTATGCTTTTTCCTCTGGGAAAATGCCCTTTCCCTCATCCCTTTAATTTGATGGCTCTACAGTGAAGCTATGCAACGGGATATACACTCTGACTAGAATGTTCCAACTAGTTTAGTAACATTAGATTTATTTTTAATTACTTTGTGGAGTGGTTCAATTAAAACTAAGCTGTGCAGCATTTAATTTCAGTTGGGAAAAAGAAAAAAAAACAATGAACCCAAAATCTCTGCTTCACTGGCATTTTCCCAGTGTAGATACTTGATTTTTCTGCCTTGAAACAATTTATTCAATCCTCTGCTGTTACAGTACATGTTAGAATAAAGGTTAAAGATGAAGTTGCCTCCTCTGAGGCCTCCATTGTTGAAGTGCACTCAATCATGCATTCATCTCAATGACATTAAAGGAAGTTTGACTTACGTTTTGTTTTCCCACTATGTTATCAAATGGAAGTTCAGGGCTCCAGGATCCCTCGGTAAACGTGGCTCCGCTGTTTCTCCTGTCAGAGGAGCTGACAGCCTCTTTCACAATATCTTCAGGTAAAGTCAACAGACTCTCCTCAGGTTGTTTAATTAAATAAGTCTCAATGTTATGTTTCCTCAGGAATTCATTGCGTTCTTTGCCATGCCCTTCTTCAACTTTATAATCCCCATTCAGGCAGTCCAGAGTGGCTTTGGAGATATGAATCCTCCTGCATAAGTGAAATAAGTAGTAGCAAATACTGATTGTGCTCTACTATAGGTTAGAAGGAGGTTTTGAAACCTACATTGTTTATCATCATGGATATTGACAAGGTTTTCTATTGCAAACAATGAAAATTAAGTAGTGCATTTAAAAACATGAGCTTTATTTGTGGTCAAATAATCTCAAAATATGTTTACATCATTAAGATATCATTAATATGTTTTTCCTGTCACAGGAAAAACACTTTGACATTCACACCTGATACTTCTGCTCATAGTTAATAATTTAATGGGAGACATTCCTGAGTAAAATGCTATTCTGAGTGAAAGAAAATTGTACTTCAGGGAACTATGTTGAGAGAAAAATAAATGGTAGGCATTGGAGCAGTTTACATGAAGGTCTTTGATTTCCTTCAGTTTCCTGAGGTAGCTTAAACATTTGGAATTAGTGGTCTGATTGCACCTGAAGTGAATTAGGGAAATAGGAGAACTATGCAAAGGCAAGCAACATAATGATTTCTATTAACATCTGATTGCACCTGAAGTGATTTAGGGAAATAGAACTATGCAAAGGCAAGCAACATAATGATTTCTATTAAGACTAGGCAATGAGTTCAATAAGCTTTGACCAAACTGAAGTTGAATTTAACAGATTACATGCAAAAGAGCTCAAACTTTGCAATGGTATGATAGGAACTTGCATGCCTTCCAGCCAAAACATTTTTAAGGAATCTTCAAGTTCCTGCATGTAGGAAAATAGCAGACACCTCCAGAGCCTATCAACATGGTCAGCTGTGCTCTACTGTACAATGCAGCATCATGAATGCAGCAAGGGTTGTTCATTAGGTATTTATCTAGCCCAAAGAAAATAGTTGTAGTGACTCTAAACCAGCTGATTTTTTAAACTTTGGGTGTATGTCACTTTCTGCAAGACAAACTTGCATACAAATTCCTAATATTCAGAACGAGCTGAAATTCTTGATCCTTTCTTGATGACACATGCTATGTTGTTTTTCTCAGTCACCACAATTTGGATTCCTCCTGTGAAGAAAATGATCCTAGCATGTCCCTTGGGAACTTCCTTCTGTAACTCAAAGGATGCCAATACACAATTGAATTGCATAATATTTTGATGGAATAAAAGACTAAAAGGGCATATATTATGTGTATACATTGCCAGAAAATAAAGTTCTGGTTGTATTAAGCAGTGTGAAGTGCCCAGAAGTATCAGAACTTGACACAAACTGTCCATGTGGACTATTAAATATCAAAATCTAATTAAAAGATCAAAAATTTGTATCCCAGCCATTTTTTAATCTGTCTCAACTTCCCTGCTTCTTTCCCAGGTTTTGTACAACTCGCTCTTTCTAAAGGCATGCTGTTATAATGATCACAGAGATTAGTAGTACTTTGTAGTGAAAAATTAGTAAAACTCGTGATAAAACCCAGTAAAAATGTCACACAAATATAAGCTACTTTTGGCCTGGACTTAAACAGCAAAGCATGTGACCTCTCAGAAAGATGATGAGTTTCCTAGCCCTAAGACATCCAAATAGGTCAAATTGATTTAAGTAAAGACTAACCTAAAACTAAAGAAAAAAAAAAAGAAAAAAGGAAAAGAAAGTGATACAGTAGTTGCCAAGGTGACTATATCTCTCTTTAGATTCAACTAATATAATTTAGGAAATAAAGCCTTAAAATATGGATTTTATGATGGATATGATAACAGCTTTACCAGAGTATGAAGATAGCTATTATTGTGATATCCTTAAATGGGCCAAATATTAATAAATAGTTGGCAGATTATAAGTATTTTCAGGCTTCACATTTTGTACTGCTTGCTTAAAAAAACTTAAAATGTAGAGAGATATCTTTTAATTTTCTACAATTGCAGTACATTGGGAACTTGAGTATTGAAGTCAAAAAGTATTGCCTGACCTACTCTTGAAAGTGTATCAGACCCACAGTGTTAGATGTCATTGAGACATCACTGAAAATTAATTATTACCATGGATTTATGCAAATCAGTACTGCAGAGTAATACCTACATACACTAAGTAAAATCTATTAGATAATGGAACCCTGGCAGAAGAATGTCACTGATTACCAGATCACAAGATTTCCTTCTTAGGTGTTGTGGACACATTTTTTACTCTCAGAAAACCAGAAATTATCATTTTTTTTTCTCAGTGCCCCTAAGTGCCTTCCCCTCAGCAGCTGGTCTGCTGGTTTATGCTCCTTCTGTCTGGTGCAATCTCTCCCTGCATCACCTGAGGTAGATGGAGGGCTCAGGGGGACATGCAGGCATTGAAGGGAAGTGCTGAGCCTCTTCTTTCCTGCTCTCAGACTGGGTAAAAGGATGTTTCCCATCCTCAGCTGCCTCTCTCCACTGTGCCCTCAGGAAAATGCTGCAATTCATCTTTGCTCTTGTTTTACACCGTGAGAACAGGACTGCTCATGATCCCAGGCCAGCTTTCCTGGTGAAGCTGCTCTAGGAAAGGGAATGACCTCAGTATTACAGCAAGCAGTGGGATTTGGATGCTGGTGGCAGGGAGAAGTAAGGAGAGGCTGAAATGAATTTACTGATCTATTAAATCTGCTCTGCACACTAGGAAACTCTGATGTAAATCACTATTCTGAGAGACTTGGTTCATTGCTGTCACATACAGGCTTTGTTCTGCTGGCACACTGATATCCAGGAAATCACTCTGCTCTGACAGACTGAAAACCTGCCAGGCATTTTATCTACAGCATTTTATCTGTGCATTTTCTGGGTTATTCATTAACAGCCATACAACTTGCACACACTGACAGCAATAGACTCTGCTTTTTGCAGGTGTGAATGGTGAAACTTAGATGATCAATTTGCTCATGTGAACACAGCATCCTCTTAGTCATCTGGGGCTATCATGTGGGATAAACAGCAGAAAATGAATTTTTTTTCCTGAAATTTTATACAGGGATGACATATGCAGAGTACAGAAGTTGTTCTCAAAGCATGCACAATTTCATTTTCTGCTAATTCCAAGCATATATATTAGAATAAAGGTTTACTATGTAGAATTGTGGAAGGGGCCTGCATTTGCAATATATGAAGCAAATTTCCTTCCAATTTCCTGGGAACATGACAGCTCTGACAGATCCTGATGTGTGTGTAGGGAGGACAGCACATGACTCAGTTTTGATGACTTAAAATCTCTGTCATTCAAGGTGACAGCACCGTTTAGATTTTTTTCCACATAAAGATGTCTGCTACTATTGCTTCCAAATTCCATGGCTAAAATTGGAATTGTCTAGGTGATCTTTTCTACATCTTTCATCAATGGCAGGTGGAACTGAAAGTGCACAGAAGATTCCTGCAATCACTACTGTTCAAATCTAGGATTTGTAGCTTGCAAATAGCAGGATATAAAGGCCATATCCAGCAGAAATAACATTCAACTTTCAGGTGAATCAGCCACATCAAGCACTCATATACAGAAAGAAACTAGGCTTTTTTAGTGGAAAACCATGCACTTTCACATATAGACAGCTTAAGATAAATATCTCAAAACATCTACTAAAGCATCAAATTATTTAAAAGACTTCTCAGAGATCCTGCTGTTCATAACAACTTGTTATTAGACTAATGACCGATGAACACATAATTCTTCCCAGTTTGTGCATTATGAAATAAAACAAATTATAGCTTTGTGCCTCACAGTATTATTTGAATGAAAAAAGGTGAGAGAATGGAGACTGGAAAATCTCATGAATGGTCAAAATCTAACTGGGAAATTTGAGCTACCTCTGAGGACTCTGAAGGCTGAAAACAAAAAATTGATCTTTTTGAGAAAATCAGGGGTAACAAAGAAAAATAAATATTTTTGTCTTGACTTTTCAAATGGCTCTACAAGCAGACCATTTCTTCCCTTTTTGGCTATAGTCTCACTAAACCTTGCCAACTGCAAAATAGCAAAAAAAAAAAAAAAGGTCATAGTTGATGAAATGATGTAAAACAGTTAATCTCTTGGCAAGGTTACCAGTGTAATGTGCTGGCAATGTTTTCTGACTGTGGGAAATACACTTTGCCTTACCCAGGAATTCCACCTGACTCGAGTTTGTTTGCAATATCCACGTCCCATGACCAGACATCAAACTGCCACTTTCTCAGGCCCAGCACTCCACACAGAACCGATCCAGAATGAATCCCTATTCTCATGTCAATGTCATGCTTTGTTCTTGATCTGACGTATCTGTTAAACAAAACACACAAAGAAAGAAAAAAAGGCCAGACTTATAAAAATATATGCCAAAATTTTCCATATAATTTAAAAAAGTGTATGATGTAAAATATGATGTCAGTTAGCTGCAAAGTGCAGTTTGGCCTGTAAAATGAAGAGAGAACTTTCTACATAGCAAAGGTAGAAGTAGTGATAAAATTATTCTAAAAGCCAGGTTATCATTAAGCACTTAATTGCATGCATGGCTCAGTGGTATACTTATTATTTCAATCAGATAGAAAGGAAAAGATAAAGATGTCTGAATGAAAATATTTTGTTGGACTTATTGAGTGCTTTAGCTTGGAATTAGAAATGGTTCAGGAACAATACAGAACTGTTGGAACAGTATGGAACAGTCAGAAACAGTATGGACACTTTAGGAACAGGAACTATTTTCATCAAACCTGTCCATTCTTTTATATTCTTGTGTATTTTTATTTATTTCCAATTTTTTTAAAAAATGTTATTTTATTGATTGGGATTTTCCAGAGTTAGTTTTTGTCAAATGATTATTTTCATTAGATTTGGCCAGAACAGCCTTTGCTCTGTCATGACAACCATGTGAGTTTAAAATCAGTTTTGTCCATTCTGTGGGATGGTGAAGAGAATTTCCCCTCTCAAAAATAAACACAAATGAGCATACTAGTTAAGATACTGTTTTTCCAGTTCTGTTTGTGTGACAATAACTGTTTGCACCAGAAATAGTATTAGAGCTTGTGTTCATTAATCTTTAAATTGTGTGCTCAGGATAGGAAAACTACATTGCTACTGCTGGTCTACAAACCTGCTGTGTCTCTGTAAAGGGCCTCATCTCTACAGTCACTGAAGTCAATAGGAGCACAGCAAGATCACACTACAGAGCAGGGAAAGAATAAACAGCTCTATTTCCCTGCTCTGGAGTTAACTACTGTTGTCTCAGATGCATCAGTAACGACCTCGACAGATCCTCTGTAGAGGAGAAAAGGGTAAATTGCTTTCTGCATTCAATACTTGAGATTTCATTGTTGCAACGGAGCACCAGCTCAGGTTGTAAGGGGGAAAGAAATAAACAAACAAACCCAAGAGTTTTAAAATGGAAACAGGTTGCACAAAAATGCAAAAAATTGAAAATAAGGAATTCATCATTTCCCTTCATATTAAGAAAACCTACAGAAAGGCAGACATACGATAAATCTAAGTGCAGTAGTTTGCCTGAGATAGCTGAAATATGTTTCTCTTAGATAGCTGAAATATGTTCTCTTACTGATGTTAATCACATCAGTAAGAGGACATATTTCAGCTATCTAAGAGAAAAAGGTTTTAAATACTTAATCATAAAATAATAAACAAAGAAACTTTGCAAAGGAATTTATCTGCGTTCTTATACTTAGAGTCTGTAATTTTGACTTACAACTTTCTTCATTGCATACAAGCAAGAGGGCTTGAAACACCAAAATTATACAATTAACTGTCCCTGGAAGATGGGATATGTAACAACTCCTCCACATTGAAGCACTTTGAGTGTTGTGAGAGAAGCTAATAGAAGTGAGACTGCTGAGATTTTAATCTATTTTGAATAATTTTTATATGCTATAAAAATATCTAAACTGACACTGATAACTGTTTGTGGAATTAGCACACAATTCTTCACATGATTGCTTCTCCAGTCTGCCTTTTCCTGTTGTTCAGACTATTATTTTTCCTTTTACATTTGATTTCCTTATCTTGAAATAAATGGTAATTGTATTTAGATAAATAATTGAGCAAAAAGCTTTTCATTGAAAAATGCAATCAATAAGAAGGTTTTAAGTTGAATAAAATGTTTTAATAGCCTGTATTTATGTAACCTTTCTCTATACATATATCAACAAAAATGTTATTTTATGAGCTTAATTTCTATTTTACCAATTGTCATGTTCTGTGACGAGCATCTGAATGCTCTAGGTTTGTCTAGTTTAGAGAAGAGGAGTCTGAGGTGTGGCCTTGTTGCTCTCTCACAGCTTCCTGAAGAGGGGAAGGGGAGAAGGAGATGCTGGGCTCTTCTCCCTGGAATCCAGTGACTGAAAGTATGGGAATAATTCAAAGCTCCAACAGTGAATGCTCAGCTTGGACGTTAGGGACCATTTCTTCACCATGTCTGTGGCCAAACAGTGAAACGGGCTCTCTGCTGAGGTGATTGATGCTCCAAGCCTACAATCAAGAGGCATTTGAACAATGCTCTTAACATGCTTTAACTTTGGTGACCTTTGAATTGGTAGGCAGCTGGACAAGATGGCCACTGTAGGCTCCTTCCAACTCAAATAGCTTATTATTCTATTCTATTCTATTCTATTCTATTCTATTCTATTCTATTCTATTCTATTCTATTCTATTCTATTCTGTTCTACTCATTTTAAATACTATAAATTGTGGTCAGGTATTTGTTTCTTATATGAGAACTAACACACTCAGGTATCACTGGAGAGACCAGGTACAAATGATGGTGCAACTAGCAATGTGCCCCTCTATTTCCAGAGTATTCCTGGATTAAACTTTTCCTTTGTTATAAAAATGTGGGGATGGCCTGAGAAGGCTTTGGCATCCTCCACCAGCCACACAGGACTTCTGCATTTGTTCTAAACCTCACACAGCTGTGCTGTCCACACCACCTCCTGCAGACACTAATCAAGGTCCTCTCCCCCTTGCCTTATCTGTCTTCCACAGTCTCCCAGCAACTCTTTATGTGCTGCTCAGGTGATATTTGATCTCAGCTCTTCACCAGCAGTCAGAGTGGATTTGGCCTCCTGCCTGCACCCTTTGGCTGAGGACATTCTGTTCCTCTGTCTGCTGCAGTCCTGGTAGACATGCAGGGCTCTGTCCTTCCATCTCCTCTTGTCATGCACAGCAATGTCCTCCTATGTTGATAGGTGGGAAAATAATTGCAGGAGGGGACCTGATTTCATGAAGTAACAGGCAGTCTGAAATATATTTAAATAGCCCTTTCCAGGAATCAAAGCATGAGAGTGATCTACTCTCATTCAAATTACTTTATTATTTGCAACACAAACCTGAAAAGAGAACTGTTGATAAGCTGTTGTGGAAACAATAGTTTTCATAAAATTTTTGTTGCAAGATATTAAATTGAACAAAGAATAAATGGTTTACTTTGTTTAAAAATTCTCTGCAAAGAGTAAAAAGTTTAAAAGTGAGGTGATTTGTTAGTATGAAAGAAGTAATGGAGTTATTTTTTTTTAATTTAATATTAGGAGTAATGTGGGTTGAAAAAGATTTCTGAATTATGTAAAGAAGGGGACTTAATCATGGTCAAATCTAACTCTCCAGCAACTAGAGTACCACATACTTTAGGAGGTCTTGTTTACATAGAGGTATAGGAAAAACAAAGCCTGAAATAACAAAGCTTGGATCACCTTCATCAGTAGTGGCAGTTCTAACTTATTCAGAAAAAAAATTCTCAGAAATAATAGCATGTACTAGATAAAAAATGTAGAGGAAAAAAAAAAGAGAGTCTATTTTGCAAAAGCTCAAGTATTCCACATCTAGTTTTTCTGTCTCCTAATTTCACTCAACTGTCAGTGAAACTTCTAATTAAGAAAATGTATTTTCTTCAACTGCTTTACAGGTTTTCTGCAGACACGTTGACAAAGTGCATGCATGAATATGCATTATTGATGATTTATAAAGCAGTTCTCTTTGCCTCACAAGTTCTTTGATATCTTATCCAGGATGAGGTAACTGTGACTGGTGTTATTTTTGCCATTTCAGTCTAGCCAGAGATAAAAAAATTCCATGATTTTAATTTGATCTTGGCATTTCCCCCTGGTCAGCACTCTTTGATGGGTATTTGATTTTTGTGGTGTTAATTGAAACCTTTCTTATTTGCGTGAAGAAAGTGAGGCAAAAGTCAGAAATTTGCTTTTCAGCCTTTTCTGTGGCTGTCAAAAATCTGAATTCAGGCCCTGAAGATTGAGAGTGCCACACAGGCTGCTTCTGTGCTGACCAGTTCAATTGTGCAAGGTTATGACTATGCTTTGAGATACTGAAAACAATCCAGAGTTCTTTTTCATTCTCAACAAGCCCTTTCACATTCTGTTCCAGACCATTTCTAGTAGGTAATTTGAATGCAGCTGCCTGGATTTGGAAGAAAAAGGATTTCAGAAGAGTGGAGTTGGCCGGTCTGTTCCACTTTTTCTTAGTGATGACTAAAATTCTCTGGGATTGTTCAATTTATCATCAAGACATGGTCATTATGATCCTCATGCAGGTGAAATATGAAAGTCCATGTATTCTGGTTTAAGGAAATAAGGATTTTAGATGACTCTGCTGACAGCAGAAGGATGTACAGGTGATCTCCTGTGTCTCCTGCTAACTGAAATGTCCTTTGATCATAACGTTCAGTTATATAGGGAACATTTTGGTTGGACTCAACATAATTATGGAATTTTCCTAAAGGAATTCAAATGCTTTTTGGTGCTGACATGACAGGATAGTAAATGAAGTGAGGCAAGTGATCTTTTCAGTGTGACTCTGGAAACTGTTCATGCCTTTGAAGGAGATATCCGTTATTTTAGAAAAGCTTGGTAACAGGATACACTAAAGTACTGAACACTTTGAATGGTACAGTGCAGGCAGTGTGATTTGTGGGATGTAAGATTTTGTAGATGAACTTTACACAAGTTGAATTTACAATTTAATGTAGATATTTTCCCAAGGAGACAATTTAAAATAACACCAGGATGAGTTTACCTTGGATTTAGAACTGTAATCTAATGTAGGCAGAAACTTACCTGGAGACGTTTCATATTGTCAGACTTATCACTAATATAACTGACTTGCTCTGAGTTCAGACAGAATCTGTAGCTACATGGGCAGAGTTAATACTGCTTCATTCCTCCTCCTCCTTATGTAAATCTGCTCTGAGAAGCAGGAAAGTAATACAGTACAAGGGACCACACAATATTATTAGAAGTTTGTTTTTTGATTTGAGAAGTATGTTATAAAATTCTTATAACCATATACATATACATATATGTATATATACACAGTCCTATGCTATTTTTGCAATGTGGCCTTGACTGTGTTTTGTGGTATAGTCAGAAGATCAAGAGATCACAGAAATACATGAACTCATTCATCTCTACCTGATTTAGTTCACATCATCATCCAACAGCAAAAACAGGAAAAGAAAATCTGTTCTGATGGTCTCTCCATTCAGAGTCAGTGGCTGGAATGGACATGTGGAGGTGACAATATGATCAAGTCTTGGTAGGAAACCTATATTCAATCTTAGAAATGTCTAAAAAGTGCTGGCTGAACTTGTGAATATGTCATAATATCCCTTTGCACCACCACACAGAAATGAAATTAAGCCTTAGTTTTTGGGTTTGTGAATACATCCTCTATTCTGTGAATCAGATCTCATTGCATCATAGGAAGAGCCTTGTAGATTATAGGAGAAATAATCTATGGAAGGAATCCAGAACTGGATGAATGATATTAATATATAATTACTTAATTACATACTTTATAAATAATGCAATATGAAAACAATTCCTTCTCTTTTAATGCCCGAGTAACATCTTTAACAAGAATTGATTACTTCATGATTTTTGTTAATACTCAACAGATGATGATAAAAGCAATTTTTTCATGCTAAAAGCAGGAAACCTGCCAGGGCAGTCAGTTATCTAAAACAGTTGAGGTATTTTTGATTGTGGATTTGTTTGGGTTTTTTTAGTTTTCCTTTTTTTCCCCCTCTCTCATGAATTTGCCTTAATATTAGTACTTAATTACAGACTTTTAATGAAGACAAGCTGTTATCTAATTTCTGGAGTTTAGACTATATTGCATGCTGAGACCATTTATTCTGTCATAATAGTTACTCTTTCAGATGGTTTGTAGTGGGAAATGATCCAAAAAATGAAACTACTCAGGGCTCCTTGATTCACCAAACAAATGTACCAGCACAAAGGTTTGTTTGAATTTCCACTGTTATATATATATTGTGCCATTTCCACCATTACACTATGAAAATGAGTCCTTGAGGAGCTGAACCTCACGCAATCTCCCTTCCCCTCTACTCCCAGTCACAGGGATTTTAGGAATAAGGACGTTTGAGAAAGTGGTGTTATTCCTGACAGCCACTTTGCTTGGCTGATAATTGTTAAAATGAATGATCATGAAATGATAACTGTTAAAATGAATGATCATGAAATGATAACTGTTAAAATGAATTATCATCTCCTGACTAAACATTCAATTGGAATCCTGTTTCCATCAACAGTCAGTCCAGACAGGCATTGATACAATAAAATTGAACAAAATGAGAGTTATTGCTGCACGTGAAAAAATGTGGAAACCAGCTGAATAAAGGAGCCCTTTGTGAAGAGCTTGTCCTTTTTACTTTAATTCACATTTCCAGCTGCAGATAAACACAATTTACAGATCTTTGGGTTTTGCAGCACAGATCAAGTATGGATTTTTTCTCATGCCTAAATGTGATGGATTATTTACTTTGGAGTAAATATCAGATTCCATGGCATCTTCCTGTAGTTAAAAGTCATCATCAATTGTTCTCAGCAGTTAAGGGAGCAAAGAACAAGAAGATAGATTTGAATAACGATAATAGTGCTTCTTTTATGGGATGTTTAACAAAGCATGGTAATGCAAAAAAAAAAAACATTACAGAGAAAAAAATTATCTTGAATTATTTTGTTGGTTTCTAACCAGTTCCTTTTGTCTGCAAAAAGAGTAGTGGAGCTGCCAGACTCAAGATTAAAATCAAATTGTAAAGTGTCAATTAACAATAAATTAACAATTTAGCTGTATGGATACAAGCTGTACGAAAACACTCAGAAGTGCCTTGTGAGACAGTTTGCCCATTTAGATTTATTTTACATGTTGTGTAATGAATGGGCCTGACGTTCTTGTTCTATTCCCTTTGACCATGGAGTCATCATCGAGGACAATAGAAGGAGTATTCAGTAATGGCATCCTGAGATCACAGGGGAATTTTCTGATGGGGCTCTGCCTCTCCAGAAGGGTTTGCTGACTGGTACAACATTACCAATGTCAATGGAGAGAAATGTTTGTCTGTATAACTTCAGTACAGCTCTCAAATCTGAATTATGGTTTCTCATATCTTAGATCACCTCCCTATTATTTTATACTTAAAACAAATTATTTTCTGAAATCTTCTGATGAAGTTTAAAAATTTTCTAATCATCAAATGTCATTTATGTCACATTTTAAATTTTTAAATATGGTAAAATTCTGTGGGGATCAATGTGATAAAAAACTCACTTTTATAAAAAGGGTATTTTATTTTATCTTAACTGTGAGACATATATCTACTTCTTTAATTTTAATTAATAGACTGTAGATAACTCCAAAATATCTCAGAAATATAGGCAGAAGTATTTCTAATATTCTATGGCAGGATTGGTCCTCCCTGTGAACTGTATGAACACACATTAAGATAAGCAACATAAGGCTCCTTTACTCTGAACAGAAAAGCCTAGGGGAAGAACCATGCTCATTGCATAGACAGAAAATCAGATACTGGGATTATCAAATAAATTGGGGTCAATCTGAACTGAATTGTCTGTGATGGATGACCCAAGTCCTGATGAACTTTGGTGTCATGGCTCCGACTGACTGTAGCTGTTATTTAACATACTAAAAATAGAACAATATTTCTACTGGATAGCTGCCTTCACGACCCTGTTCATTGAAGGGCACAGGATGTTACAGACTTCCACATGTGTAAGGAAATGGAGAGAAATTTACTGTCTTAGAAGAAAAAGGGCTTACAATGGGTTGTCTGCAGGTAGTTTTACCAAGGAAATGCAAAGATTTGATGTGTGTATCCAAAAATTTTAACAATGCTGGTAGATTTTTTTCATCTCTGTGTTGTCTAATTCATGTTTCACTTTCACTGTAGGGATTCCAGAAGCAAAGTATTGATTACTTTATTCAACATTTAGCCTGTGATAATTGAATCCAGCCTTCTTAGATATCACTGTTGCATAATCATTATTCAGTTACATTTTCCATTAATTAATTTTAGTCAAATTCTTTCTCTATTAAGAGCTCAGTAATGCAGCTGCAGTGTGCATTAACTGTCTGATGTATATCATGAGACAGACCCAGATAAAAGGGGCAAAAATGCCTGGACAAGAAGCAGACAAAGAGATTGAACAGCAAAAGATCCAGGGAAAGAGGATAGCATGTTAGGCAACACTATTTTAGGGAAGACAACAGGAAAAGTATTTGAATATAAGCTCAGTAATTTTTTAATTGATACATTGTATCAGTAAAACCCCATACATTTCTAAAAGATGGACAAAACCTCTCTTGGAGTACTAGATGTAAGCCAATGCCATGGTAACTCATTGGGCAAGCTCTATCCACAGGCTACTGAAACATGATTATTATCAATTATAATTGCATCAAAATACAATAATCTAACAGCAACATAATTATATTTACATGATGGGAGCACATTCCTTCATTAAAATACTTCCAGTGCTTGTGAATTTAAGCAAGAACCTAATTTAGCAGGTAAAATTTGTTCATCTGGAAAATCTCAATACTTATGGGTTTGCCTATGAGCTAGTTTCCAAGCTAAAGGATAGCCAAAGCTGTCCATTTTGTGTTTATATTGTGGTTTAATTTTATTAAAGGGATTTTAGGAAGCAATTCAGACTCCTCTTCAGTCTCCTCTTGAAATTGACAACAGTACAAAGTGAGAACTGCCAAGAACTGTGAAGCCTCTCAGCCCCACACAGCTATTGTGTTACATCTCTGAAGTAGCACAGGTTAATAAAATCATTTTAGCAACTATTCCCACGTGTTACATGGATCAAAAAAAGTCCTGTCCTTTTCACAGTGATAATGCTGAGATTTTTGAACCAACAGAATGATTACTTGTCTAGTGATAGCATTCTCAGGTAGGAAGTTCAGAACACTGCCAGAAACAATGAATCAGGGGGAGAAAAAGGCATTACCTGATAGTTTTGATCATGCTGAGCCCCATTTCAACACAGCAGTGTGCATGGTCCTGGCGAGGTTCTGGGAGCCCCGACACGCAGTAGTAACAATCCCCCAGGATCTTTATTCTGAGACAATGGTGTTCCTACACACAAATGTATCAAAGACAAAGAAAACATTTGCATGTTTTTTCATAATTTTAAGGTGAAAGTAGAAATGGTAATTGCTGTTAAAAAAACCAACACCCCACCTTGTTTCTGGATGTTTCCTGTTTGTCATTATATAATTGTGATTTATATCACTTTTGACATAAACTACCTTTACATTTGCAGAAAAGAAGACTATAGTGATTTTTCTTCTATGCTAATCTGAGATGTTCTTGCTGATGGGGAGAAAGGTTTTATCAGAGCTAGGTGGAACATAGACCAAGGATTCAGAAATGCCAGCTGAGATAATGAATAATCCAATTTAGGCTATGTTCCTCCATGGCATGTTTTCCTGCCCACTTTTTACACTGGAAATAAATGAAAAACCTCTTTCCTCCCACTGAAATCTCTTTCCACCTAAAGTTTCTGCAGTGACACTCAAGTATTCCCAACAGGTATAGAAACTGATCAAGTATCTGCATGACAAGGATCTCAAAGAAGCTGTCCTGCATCAAGCTCATGCTGTGGAGAAATGATGTTTGGCATCCAGGTAGAGACATCCTTTACCCTAAGAGCAAATAGTGAATTTAATTTCTAAAATACATATTAACAGTGTCATTACAGACTAAAACAGAATATTATTGGGTGATTTGATCATTATTTTAGAAGATCCTTTTCTAGTGAGCAGAAATATCTGAATTGTTGCAATTTTGCAGTTCCCAGACCAGCATATGAGACCAAGATTATCTGTAAATTTGCCCAATGTATTCTGCTGATTGGGCCCTCACAGGAGGCAATCAATGCACAGGAAAAGAGAACATTACAAGCTGTGGCAAGGAAGCGTTTTTATGATGGAGAGTCGCTGAAATATTGAGTGTAGTATTAATAATCAATCAGTAAAGGCTGCAGTAACAGACCTTTAAAAAGAAAAATTTAAGTAAGCTCTAGAAGCAAGTGTGAATGCTGATTCTCCCAGGAATCAAGTATGGGTTCCCTTCAAAGTTTTGCTTAGGAGGAATGAAGGTTTGTAGTCAACCTCAGATAAGACTTGCACAATCCTGGAGTGACACAGAGAATCTACACACTTGTACTCAAAGCTTTTTGAGAAGTCAGCTGAAGCCTTAAGCATGTCAGCAAGGGTAAAACCTGTTCTGGGCACGTGGCCAAAAAGTAAGCTGATTCACCCTAAAATCTTCTTAAACCATCAGTAGGAACTGACCGTGTTTGAAGCTTTGGTTAAGGCTCCAGCTAAAACCAGTGCTTGCCTTTTGAGTGCAATGCCTTGGTACCTGTTTCACACAAAATTCCAGACTGAACTCCAGGCTTCCAAAATGTCAAAATTCATATGTAACTCTGCTCTTTCCTCAATCTCTTCTTTTCATCCCCTTTGCAGACCCACAAAAGAACACTGCTTCAAATAAAATTGTACATCCTAAACCCCTCCAAAACAACATTTTTTTTAACTGTTCCCCCTCAATGGAAAGAATTAGAGATCTGATGTTATCACATTTTCCACTTATTTTTTTTTAACTATAGAGCGAAACTGTGAAACACAAAAGTCAATTGACAAGTAGGTAGGACTCAATGGCACAAATCAGAGCATGTCAAACAGTAGGAGGACTTCCTTAAGCTTTTCTCTCTGTTCCTTGTTTAAACAAAATGCAAAGAGATGAAGATATAAACCAGAGATTCTAGCATTTTTTGGCTTTTCTAAAGGCCCCATTCAATTGATTGTTACTATAAGTGATGTTTTCTTTTATATCTACAAAATAAAAGGATCATGTATAATGTCATATGGGTTTGACTCAGGTGGAATAAATCAAAAGGCAGCTCTTTATTCAGAGCCACTGCAAATACATTACAAATAATAACCTCATAGTAGAATAGAGGGGAAAAAAGAGAAAAACAGTCAATGCTTAGGAAAGAAAGAAAGACTGAAATAAAAGAAAGAAAGATATATCTCCAGTATTATTATATTTTAATTTTTAAATTGCATTTTTAATTTCAACATTTATTATACCTATCTGATGACATGGGAAACCCCTATTAAGTGAGAATTTATTTCAGCACAGTTAAAGACTGTAGTCTTCAATAGGATAAGACTGTTGTTTGATTCTTAATGCCTCACTTAAACTGGCTAAAATGCTGGTTCCAGTAAATTCAGATGAGACTTATATCACCTTCCTGCATGTCTGAAATTCAGAATAAAGCAGACAGCTTCAGAGGGATGTGCTTTTGTAAGAATAAGAATCTTGATGCATGGCAAGGTCTGCTAACGAGGGTCTGAAATATGCAAATGTTAGTGCATGTGTGTGACACAGGAAATCCATTCAGCTCCTCATGAATGTTTTCTTTCCCTTGTCATGTGGTGTCACCTGGCTCATTTGCCAAAGCTCAGGAAGTCATCCACAGAGTGCAATATCCCTGTGGAGATGACTATGTCAGGTGTCCCCATGCCAGCGAGCAGTGGAGCCCAAGGAGAGCCAGGCAAGGCAGTCGGGGAAGCCTGGGGACAAATTCAGTCACAAATAAAGCTGTTGGCTGGGCTTCACTTCAGCTGTCTGTACCTAAACTCACCATGTACCTGTGAGACCCTGGGTGTGTGAAACACCCACACAGGACTAACAAATATGACATAAGATTTATGTCCTGTGGAACATTGCAGGAGTCAGGCAAGGTGTCTCTGCTGGCACAAGAAACCACAGGGAACTTTTAAATGACTCCTTGTCTTCCTGGGTTTTTTTTTCCTGTTAATCAAATTATCATAACTGGTAAATGTGATCTGTGTTACAGCCTGACTACATTGCTTTTTCATTTTTTATGCTTCCCTAATTATTCCCATCATACTCATTTCAAAAGTAAACTATGGGCTTTTTATCACTGGAAATAATTCATCTAGAGGAAGATAATTCAACGACTCTCAAGGACAGGGGGCTAATGGTATCTGCCTTTGACAGGGGCAAACTGGCTGGTCCCATGAGATTTCCTCAAATGACTCGGTAGCTTAATCACATCTTCAGTTTAGACTCAAAGCTTTGTCAGACTGTTGTACGAGAGCATTAAGGTTAGATTCATGAATAATGTGGGCAGTCATGCTCTAGTTTTAAATCAGAGATTGAGTTTTGTCAGGGCCTGCCCACTTTTCAGTGGTATAAAATTATATTAGTATCAATCAAGATTTTCCTCACACTGTAGAGCTCAAGCCCACTTCCTAAAATTGTCTCACTGCAATGGTATCTAAGAGTGGCAAGTTGATATTAAATGAAAATGAATGAAAAGTCTAAATATGTATGAAGAAACTGCAAAATGAGTAAATTATTTAAATAACAGAAAATTTTCATACAGGAACTTTGGTACAGGAAATATTTTTCACAACTGTGTTAAATTCTTACACCATTGTGAGGCTATTATCATCTACTCTTTAATTTATTTTATTCCTCTTCCCTTTTTCATATGCAATTCTAAAAGTTGTCCTTGGGCATGTAAATGACAGCTGATATTATACAGACGTTCACATCAGTATCCATCAGTCTCACACCCCTTCCAATACTCATTCATTAATAGCATTTATTGAAGGGATCAATTAAAATCTCAGCATGCCACACATAGGGGCTCTTTTCTCCCCTTATTTGCAGCTTTTATTTGCTGCAAGTGGAAGATTAAGGGGCCTGATTCTGCCAAGATCAATTTAAATCAGAATTTTTGCCTGGGGATATTGAATAGACTCAAACACCCAACTATTTTTAATAATAATTCTAGATTAATTTAGTGGCAATTGATAAGAAACCTTTTTCCAATTCACCTAAATCCAGAGAAAAAGAAAATATGCAGATTTTTCATAAATAATTGCCTTGTATGTGGTGAATGATTTATGTTTAAGCTTATTAAATATACCCCTAGTGACTGGAAAGGAAGCAAAGCAAATTGGCATAAGGTGGAGCTGCAGAAATGAGTTGCTCAAATATCAAGTTGCTGAAAGACACAGTCAGAGACTTCATTAATATTTCTTGTTTCCTTGGGCTAAATTCCTGACAAGGGAAAAAAAAGTGATTTTGTTTTGTAAGCTATGCCACTTTTTCAATTCTGCCAGTGCTGAATTAATCATTTCACCTAGTTTTGAAAGGAACCCCATAGGATAGCAAACAGACCACAGAAAATTGAAATTTTTTTGCTATTTTTACAATTTCAAGCTCAGAGTTTAGAACATTGGGGATGAAAAATTACTGCAACTGAACTACAGAACAAAAAGAAGTTATACACATAAGTCTTCTTTCAAAAGGCAGCCAGAGTGGGAGAAGGAAGGGACTTGGCCTTTGTGTACAATAGCTCAGTTCCTGAAACCTGTGCCAAAGGCAGAGGAAACCTGGATAAACCTCATTTCTCAGCATGAAAGGGGGCTAGGCCAAAGCTCTTAATCAGCAGTCTGTTTTAGGGTGGCTTGGTGAGAGAGCTCCATCCAAATTCCTTCTATTGCAGCTCTGTCCCTTTGGAAAAGAGAACTAGGACCTTGAGAGAGACAGATGGAGGGGGGTTCTCAAGCCTGGTCATGTAGGCAAAAAAAGAGGACCAGAAATGATACAGAGTTACCAAGATTTTTGAATTTTTATACACATAAAGGGAAAAATATGGCAGTCTTTCATTTTCCTAAACTAGGGAATACATAAGTATGGCCCTATATTAAACACTTTCTACACATTTTACCATACTGTATAAGGAATGGGGGTTTTTTTTCTTTAGGAAAAAAAAACTCTAAACTATAATGGAGCAGTTAGAATTTCTCTGTGCTGCCAGAAAAAAATAGGTTTGAGGTCTCTCATGCTGCAGAAGGAATTGAGGTGCACTGGTGAATGGGGTTTATGATTTATTATATCAACAGCTTTGTTCCTTGACACATTGTAGAAGAAAACTGCTGTGACTGCTGTGTCTGGTGAGCAATTTGCCTTGGCAGTTTGTGTTAATTAGAAGACTATGCTTTAAGTGATTTCAGGGACAGAAATTC